GGGGAGGGTCAATATACACCACATCAAACTTACATTCAAGCTCATCAAGATCAAACAAATGAAGGTCACAATCAAGGTACCTGAATACAAATAAAGAGCCCAGTTCACAGTTGAAAGTTGGCATTGTTTTTGTACTACAATCCCCGATTAGAACTATTTTGTTGAAATACTTCCAGAAACAGTTGAAAGTTGACATTGATTTTTGTACTACAATCCCTGACCATAACTACCATAAAATTCTGAAAATAAGCCCGGGGGCTTATATTTTTCAAAGGCCCTTTTTGAGGGCTTAGTTTTGGAGGGGCTTATATTCGGAGGGGCTTATGTACTGAGAGAAAATTGCGTTTCGTAATTGATTGGGCTGGCCTTATAGTTGGAAGTAAATTTTTTTTATTTTTTTTTATTTTTTATTTTGGTTTTACTTTGTATTTGAGGGCAATTTTCCAAGTACAAGCCCCCAGGGGGCTTATATTTGGAGGAGCGATTTAACGGAGGGTTTTTTGCATTACCGGCTTGGGGGGCTTATATTTGGAGGGGCTTATATATGGAGGGGCTTATTTTTGGAATTTTACAGTCTTTTGTTGAAACCCTTCCGGAAAAAGCAAGATAATCTAAGAGGTTCACAAAAACTTGATCGCTTCCCCCTTCTCCCCCCGATGTTGGTTTAACAGGTTTGCTTGGTCATAAATTCCCATAAATGTCTGTAAAATCAACATTGAAGGGGAAGAAGTGAAGACCTGTAAGTTATGTTCATGCCCACCCACACTAGGTAGGTCTGTGCCTATTAGATAATAAAACAAAATTAATGTGCCTTTTTAAAATTATTTTCTTAAAAAAATACATTTCCTCTCGTTTTTTCCCAAGGACTGTTAAACCAAGCTTGGTACACTAAAGAATCTCAACACCCTAACTCATGGTTATGACGACACTCTTCCAGCATCCCATATTGAAATTAAGATTTACATGAAAATGTAAAAATAAATTATTTCCAAGTAACAGTGGCATGCTTGTAGGTTATGGCTTAATTTGTTTGAGGGTTACTTACATAGGTGGAGTAGCACGTTCAGCAATGATTTCATCCTAAAACAAAATCTGCATTAGACACGTTTTTTGAATGGTTATGAGAAGATAAACCCATTTGCCCCTGTGGTTATTTTGCTGAAAAAAGTGTTTTGAAGCTAGTCGAGCCATTTTCTGGTCACTCACTGGGATTAAAGAGTTAAAACTTTGTATTAGCCTCCAAAGTTCTGGCATGTGCAGAAAGCAAAATTTCAAAATAGCTTTTGGCTTTAAAACTGACACAGACATCAGTCTTGGCTCTTTCTTTTCACTTTCTGTCCTCCCATCGTCTTCCATTTTCTTGCCTTATTTTTTATCTTCTGCTGTGCATTTGGTAGTCTTCATTTTGGTGGGAAAAGTATTTTTGAAAGCTTTTAGGATCTTAGGATCAGATGAAAGAAAAGGTAGGTGGGTTGTAGAATTTTTAGGGGAATTTTCAGGTCAATGTTAAATAGGTTTTCTTCACCCTGCAAAAGTTACATGTAGCTGACAAAGTTGTCCTTGACCGTTAAAACTGATGATGTCACAAGCAGTAAAAGGACTTGGTAGTTCAGGAGTGAATGGGCTTAAACAATGACATAAAGTGCAACAACATTAATTTCAGCGGGTCTTGTCTTCAAAGAATGTCATATAATTTATTATTATGATCAGACGTAGGAAGATGGAGGTAAATACTTAGTATTCATGAGGTACAGAGCAACTAATGTGAAGAATAATGGTAATAATAGTACATAAGTTGTAATGGAAGCAACAAGAGTTATCAGAAAACTGCTGCATGTTTAAAAAGTTAAAAGAATTCAATACACAAGCCAAGGCGGTCCCTAATATTTGAACATGGTGTGAATAAAAGCAAAAACAAATATGGCAATGGATCTGCCTTGCACTTGACGCTTCTTTCACTCAAATTGGTATGACATAAACTTAACTATAGCTGTTTATAATAATAATGCCTTTATTTAACAAGGGCAACACTAAATACCCAAGGCTAATAAACTTGTGGCCCTTGAAACACAATCTTACAAATATATGATATCAATACTAATAAAAACACATCATCCTAGCCTATTAGTTCATATGGGTTCTCATGTAACTACAGCCGTAGCGTGCAACTTTAAATCTGTACTTGCTGCTGACCCTGTAATAAATAAAGATGTTTACCCGTAATAACCCTTAAAGCCCCAATATCAACAAACAAAATCTCCAGACTGATCTTTATACACGAATATTTCCATAAAGAATTAGTTGATAGAATTTGATAAAAGATCAAAGCATTTCTTTGTGCTGATTTCATTAATTCTCATAACCTTTTTTTTATCATTAGTGGATTTTGTTAGGAAATCAAGTTATGTTGCTTAGTTGATTAGTCTTGGGAATTAGAGGGAGGTAGCTCAGAACAATGTTTAATGAACGGTCCCACCTTGAGTCTGATTAGTTCCCTCAGCTTAGGATATTCCTCAAATCTATCAGCAAGACCTGTCGAAAAGATGAGCCACAAAATAAATATCAGCAGTCATCATTATTATTACTGTGCTAATTAATTTCCCTAAATAATCTCAGAGTAGGATACTTTTGCTCTGTTTTAATACAGCCAAACTTACGGTGGCCCAGAAGGGTCACACATGCAAATTAAAAATGTTGCTGCAAATTAAAAATTGTACATGCAAACTAAAAATATTACCTGCAAATTAAATATCGTACATGCAAACTAAAAATTGTGCTGCAAATTGAAAATAGAAACATATCGATGCAAATTAAAAATGAAAAGTCCTGCGCGCGCAGTATGAGTGATGAGGACCTGGTCCGAGCCGTGCGACCTAGCCTTACAGCTGTCGGCCCAGTCATGTTTCATGTTTGTAATATTTTTAGTTTGCATGTACAATTTTTAATTTGCATGTCCTATTTTTAATTTGCAGGTAAAAATTAATTTTTAGTTTGCAGCAACATTTTTAATTTGCATGTGTGACCCTTCTGGGCCACCGTAAAACTACTGCACTTGAAATGACCAGAATTTTAAACCATATTTTTCATTTACTAACCAACATCTCTGATGAAGTTATGAGGCCTTTGTCCAGTATCAACAAAATGCTGGCAGTAGTCATTATGTGGGTTGGCACTTTGGGTTCCCTGTTGAAACATAAAATAAACTAATAAATCAATAATGTTCTGAAAGATGATGTTGTTTTTGCTTTGAAATGATAACTTTTGTCTTATGTGTTTGTGTAATGATAATAAGGCTTGAAGATTATCGCAAAATCTTGACTTTTGACCCCTTTCTTTTTCAGGTGATGGAAGTTATTGAATTAAAAATTATACATTTTATATACAGGTAACACATACATGTAGAAAATGAATACCTTCAAAAAATGGCTCGAATCTTTGTAGACCACTTCCTCTACTTCTTCCTCCTCAGAATCCTCTTTAGTCTGGCAAAATAGTGAGGAAAAAAATCACAGACAAAGAATGATTGGAAACAAACTTCACCCACTTCAATCTCCACCACTAAAAGCGATCTCTCTCTGCTGGACAAATGTGTAATAAACTCAAACAGCTAGAATAACTAAACCACAGTGTAATAAGATGACGTAACAAACTTACCAGTATAGACTAAGAGAGTGTTTTATACAAGGAATTAAAAAAAGCAACATGAAATAGCTCCTGTCTTGAAGACAACAAGACTTTCAGAAAATCTTTATACAGTCGTCGGAATCTCTATTACATTAAGTGCCACCTACAGTTATTAGGCAGCCACCCTCTATTAAGCAGCTAGTAACCTAAGTCCCGAAATAATAAAAAATTGTAGAAAAGAAAGGAAATGAATCCTTTATTAAGTAGCCATCTCTATCAAGTGGCTGCAGCCACCTTTTGGCCATCTCAACCAGAGTTCTATTGAAAGAATGACGAACCTCTATTGAGTGGCCAACCACTTGCCAGTACCTCAAGGGTGGCTGCTTAAGTTAACGGAGGATCAACTGTATTTAGTTTGTAAATCCTTAATGAGAAGATTGCAGGGCTGCCAGTAAGGGACAGGACATTATTTGCAGCATGTTGTATCAGAAAGGTCTACAATCTCACATATTCAGCTCAAGAATGTAAAATGCTGATACAGCAGTGTATTATAATTATAACGTTTGAACATTAATCATTTTAAACTCAAAAATAATAATTTGTCTTTTGAAAAAGAATGTAAAATAAGTCATAATTATAGGAGTCTCTTTATCTCTATTATACATTAAGGAGGTACATCCAATATATATATTTGCTACACAACCAGAACCAACAAGTTAATAAATTACTTTTTCTGGATCTTGATCACCAGGCTGGACATTATGTTTTCTCTCCTTCTTCTCTTCTGATATTAGGACCTGAAGACACAGTGATGATTATTTCATGGGCTGTGTTGTGGAAGTAATTTCAAGGACCATTTAAAGTTCCCTCTTTTAAAGTTCAGAACAAAATCCAAGATCCAACCTTTTGACACCTGAACAGTTTTAAAAAGAAAGCTGCATATAATAGTCAGTCATTAGACAATGTCTGACTGAAAATGTTCCACCTATTAACAGTGAAATCCACCTGGGGTTCGATATAAACTGACAGGCCAATACCAAAGACTATCATTTTTTAAGTTGAAGATTTGAACTTAGAAAAAGGAAAGTAAAGATTATTGTTGTTGTTGTTGTTGTTGTTGTTTTTGTTGTTGGTGTTGTACATGTAATTTGCATACATTTAGCACTTGAGAAATCTGTATGCTGTAGGTCAGGTTAATATGGTTTTACCCTAGTAGGTTGACTTTCAATCTGCTTTGTTTCGCAGCCCTAATCAAAAACAAAAATTCAGCTGGATAAAAGAAAAATTGGCCCAAACCTACACTTAGGACACATCAACCTCTTTTTTTTTTACTTTTTAACAAACCTTAGTTGGTCCTGCAGGAATTCCTGGTAGGTTTGCTTCTTTACTTCCCTGGACTTGATCATCAGAAATTGTGTTTTTCTCTTTACTCAGTTTCAGCTTTTTGACTTCTTGTTCATCTTTACTCGTCAGCAAGTCACCAATAGACTCACCTCCTGAAGCACCCAGCTTAAAGAAAAAAAATTATTGTTACTGGGTTTAGTAGCCTGTGAACAGCAGACGTATTTCCGGTTGTCGCTTCTCTCCTTCCGAAAAATTATACACTTTTTTCTACCCTGTGAACAGAACCTCCTTTTTTTATACACTCAATAAAATTTCTGCAGGCAACATGACTATAAATTTGGGCAACATTACTCTGGTTTCGGGCAATATAACCTTGGGTGAGATGACTCTCAGGCGACTTGATCAAACAAAGTCCAATAAAATACCAGGTGAGCTTTCATATGAAAACATCACTTCAGAAAAAAGATTTTGAAACAAACGCCAGCCTTGAGTGAACGCCACTGACATCCGAAATGCTGAAAATTTAATAAATGCAGGAGGCGTTTCATCGAATAAATACAGTTAGTAACATGTTATCTTAACACATAAAATATCACCCTTGCTATGGCTGTTACATAGTAATTTGCACCTTTCACAGCAAAAGACTATGAAAGTGAAATGGTTTTGTATTTCATTGGTGTTTACATATAAAACATGGAACATTGGAGTATTACATGGCTGCTGGGAGATACAAAATTTCCCTTCTCTTCTTGAGTGCCTTTTTACATGAACCCAGTTGACCGGGCTGGCCTGGTTACTGGGATGAACTTTGCCTTGGGTTCATATGGGAAATTTCAGCCCAGTTTCTGAGACGAGAAAAGGCCAAAGATCCAGGGGACGAGTTCTGGTGCTAAATTAGAAAAGCAAAGCAAACATGGCAAAACACAAAAATTTAACTTTCGCCCCTATCATAGCTTCCGCAACTCTTAAAGCTGTATCACTGCAGTTACAATGTTATGGGATGCTTATGATGTGGAAAATATAGCAAGCAATATGCAAGAGGATGCGATCCGGACTGCCAGAAATCATTCTGCATTCATTCCAGTAACTGGGCTGAAGTGTTCATATGGTAAAATTTCCAGCTCGCTCACCAATATCTTGGTTTTTCCAAGCGAGATCTCGGAAACAAAGCCGGCCCGCTCTCTCATATGAACACATCGAAAATTTACAAAGTATTTAAAGCTAAGGTAAGGCGAGATCTTGGAAACCAGAACAGCCTGGTCAATCGGGCTCATGTGAAGAGGCCCTGAGTCTATGTTTTTTTTACTTCTTCCACAACATGAGTAATTTTATCCCTAATGTCTTTCTGTGTTTGCTCCTTTCTCTTTGGAGTTCACTTAAACTATAAAGTTAGCGGTGAATTTCAAGGACTTTCCAGCTCCAACTGCAATTTTCAAGGAATTTTAAGGCCTTGAATATTTAATTTAAAATTCAAGGACTTGCTTGCGAACCCTGAAAATTACAATGTGTGCTGAAAAACAAAGCAATGATGAGTGACGTTCTTTCTCATTCGACACTTGCGTTAGTATGAATTCGCCACGTTGTCCAGCATTAAACTCGTCATTTTTCGCGTGTAGTTATGTTGTTTTCTCCCTTACTGAGCGAGTATCGGTCCCCTATAAAAGGTAACGACTGCGTGAGAGACTAGAGTGTGTCTGCGGAGAGAACGTGATATGAATAAAACAGCTACGAATGACAAGTTTTCCCCTATCCATGCCGACTAGAAACAATGCCAAATGTGTAAAACCGACCTGCTGTGCAAGAATCTGTCGACGAAGTTTGGACTTTTCTCGTATTTGCTTCAGCCTATCTCCCATCGTTTTTCTCCTTTTTCTTCACTTCAGAAATTCGCCATGTTGAACTTTGTAACCAGTCGCTTTGTAACCAAGCCTTTACTGGCGGGAACTTGGCATCCAGGCCAACTTGCTCGTTCTTGAACTTTTAGAACTGGAGGTACAAGCTGTGTAAGAAGTTGTTTAATAATTCCCTCAGACAGCGATCAGGTGTGAGAAGATTTACTCTCTATGTATACGAGCACAAATAAAAATAATGAATACAAGGTGTGACGAGGAGCCTAAGCGAAAAAGACTAAAACAAAGCAGTATTGAGGAGAGCTTCAAACGTCACCGCTCAAGCTTCAAATCGAAGACATCGCTTCATCTGGCAGGTATAAATTATTTAAAAAGTTAATTCTTGGTGAATGGGATGTAAGCACGGGATCGTAGCCCACAGATGTCTTGGTTTCAGGGTTTGGAATGGTTTGCTTATGTTTCCGATTGCTCTTGGAGTTTACGTATCTTTATTAGCATGACAACAGCTGTGTACAGATAAAAACCTTTAGGTTACTAATTAAGCTTGATTATATAATTATGTGAACATTCGGTCAAGAATAAAACCAAGGGGGAGTGGACCGCTTGGTCTAGTCAATTAGAGTTAGCTACTTGATGTATTTTACTACTTAATTGATTTATAATTAGTAAGTTAGGGTTTGATTTACTTAGTTATTTGGTGATATTTTATTTCAAAATCCAAAAATGTGTTTGTTTGAATAGAAGATGCTAACCTTTTCACAAAAGTTTCGGTTAATCCACCAGATTTCAGTCATCAGGCTAAAAACTGAGAAAAGAAAGTAAGAACTGATGTGGGATTACTATGAATGGGCCACTAGATTTAACAATTTTATGATTTATGAAATATCGTTTCAAAGAACTAAAATCCAAAAAGAAAAGAGTCACGAGCTGCAGTTTGTTAAATATTGAAAAAGGTTTTAGGTTGATATAACATTAATATCAACATTTTTATTGAGATCCTACGTAGATTTTAGAAGATAATATAATGAAGTTAATGATTTTTTCTGAAGGAGTTGCTTTGTCCTGTTTTTGTATTGTTAGATAAGAATCAAAGGTTACTGTCACAAATTATGCATCAAAGTGTATCATCACCAAGTGAAGATGAATTAAGGAAGAAAAGAGCTCTTCTGGCAGATGCCGCTGAAAAAAGACGGTAACTTTCAGCACAATGTAACTTTGATTTTAAAAGTTCTTTTTCACACCAATTTTTGCAACAGATTGTGCTAATCTGCATTCATTGATTTCAGTGGTAGTATTTTGCCTCTTTTATAGTATATCCCGAAGCTCTCAACTAGCCCCATATTTTGGTGTTAACATCTTGATTGCCATAGAGAGATGAAAAATTCCCATTTTTGAAATTATGGGATTGGTTGGCGTATTCAGAGAGAACAAGATGAAAAAAGCCCCCTCTGCCAAAAATCAACCTGCTAGTGCAAATTGGTGAGGAGGAGCTATGAGCTCTGGTTGCTCTGATGGCTCCATACAATCCATTTGAAATAGAGTACTAAAGTGTGACGTCATAAAAATGAAATTTCTGAAATTATGGGATTTGTCAGGATATTCTGAAAGAACAATGTCCAAGAGGCCTACTTGCCAAAAATGAGCATTTGGGGGCAAATTGTCTCTGAAATGGTAGCCCAGTTATGCTTACAAAACTCCATACAAACCCTTCTAAATTTTTTTTGGGTCGACCCAAAAAAAAATTAGAAGGGTTTGTATGGAGTTTTCTGAGTATAACTGGGCTAGGATCTCAGAGACAATTTGCCACGAAATACTCATTTTTGGCAAGTAGGCCTCTTGGACATTGTTCTTTCAGAATATCCTGACAAATCCCATAATTTCAGAAATTTCATTTTTATGACGTCATCACTTTAGTACTCTATTGCCTTGGATCTTAGCATTAATGATTCAGGCCTATACTATTTTAGAGGGATTTGTGTAGAGCATAAGATTAATCTCCACCAATTTACACAAACAGGCTGATTTTTAGCAAGTGAACATTTTTTGTCGTGGTCCTTCTAGATGTGCCAACGAATCCCATAATTTCATGAATTTAGCTTTTTTGACATCATCATGTCTCTTCTGTATTAGCTGAGCTGCTTTCTCAGTAGAATAGAAACACTATTAAAAATGTCAGTTCTACAGCATCCCATCTGTTGTGCAGCTTCAGGCTTAACATTAGTGTGCTCCATGGGTTTCTCCTTGTAACTTGTCACTGCAACAAATTGCCCAGAGTATGGCAAGCTCATTGTTTAATTTCTTGCCCCTAGACAGAAGAAAATAAATCACCACAAGAGAACAGAATAAATTCAGTGATTAATTAGTATAGGTAATAGCATGTAGTGATATTTGGCATAAATACCACGAGTAATATTTCAAAATTGTTATACGAAATTTCACGAGCCGTTGGGCAAGTGAAATTTGAGACAATTTTGAAATATCACGAGTGGTATTTACGCCAAATATCGCATACAAATCATGCTACTATTTGTTTATACTACTACCCACAAAGGGTTTGTAATTTTCACATGTAGGTATTTCAAATTAAGCTGAAATACCACTGCTCTAAGCCAATCAAATTGCAGTAATTTTTCATGTAGTAGTATAATACCTTTAATTGGCTGTAAGAATCAATTTTTTGGGACTGTACACAAATATGTAAGATGAAAGCTTGCACATTAATGACGTAATTTTAAACCTACATAATACATCTGATCTGATCATTTAATTTGTCACAAAAGTATTGAAATCTAGTTATTATTATAGTTATGAAGTCTTGTGTTGAGATCTTTGAATTTATCAGGCAAGTGTTAATTTTGTTATTTCTTGATATACCAGTTGATAAAACCCTTTTTTTTTGACAGTGAGAGTGCCTCAAATACTGCTGTAACATCAGCAACATCCACTGCTAGTTCAGATATGGTTCTGGAAGGTGGCAGCAAGGATGGACTAAGTGACAATGATAACCCCCTTCGTGATGAATTTGATGATTCTCCCCTTCTTTTTCCTGAGTAAGCATTTGCTCCACTTATAATTTGGTCTACAGTAATTTCTGAAAGTGTAGTAGCAATCAAGCAAACTTAAAATGGTTTTTGCTTTATCTGTTCTTTATTGAATCATTTGAGACTTGAGGCGAATAAACCATCTTCATTCGAAACATTGTGGGTCCCAGTGTTATTTTTAATTAAACAATCTATCCAAATAAAACTGAAGTGCTTATCAAACCTGTTCAAACCAACCCCCTTCCCACCCCCACCCCAAAGCCCAACAACAGGCTCTTTCATCTTTGTTGTATGCCAGAAACACATATTTTTTCTTCAAAGTAATTTACAGTTAGACAACTGTATGTTCATAATCTGTAAAGTAAAGGCTCTTGATAAAACTTTTGGTGTTTGTTAATATTATATTGCTTAGAATTTTAGTGATTCGTTGAAGTAACTTGTGTTTATTTGTTTCATTTTAATTTAGTACACCCCCACAAGCTCCTTCATCAGAAGAAATTCTGCAACATTTTGTGACAGGGGTGAGATAGCAAATTGAAGAGCAAGTACATCAAAATACCTTGTATACTCAGAATAACATTGTGTTAATGGACCATTTGCATCGTTTTTAAGAACTATTAATTGACTGACGACAGTTTCTCCTTTTCCAAATCATGGCATTTCTAAACATTAAATTAGTAATACCCCTCTCCTCCATCTGTGTTAATAGGGATCTTAAGCAATGACAACAACGATGGCAGTGAAAACATCACTAAAAAAGATAAATGAATTTGCCTCCTTTCAAATTTTATCAGTTCTATTATTTTTTTGGAACAGCTCAATTCATCAAATGTTGGCAACTTTTCCTGGAGTTGAATTCTTAAGTGCTTTATCCATGTTCAAATAGATCTAGGAGGGAAAATTTGTCGTAGTATGTCCACATCCTCTAAAACATTGCATTGGGAGGTTTTACATCGTAGTCGTGCAGTGGACGTCAAAGAAATGTACTAAAAAGTGTGATGCACATGCAGAGCAGTTGTTTTGCTCACAAAACCAATTGTTCTTTGGTGTTGTTGTTGTTATCAATAGTCGTCGTCCCTTAAGGTCCCTAATAGGCACTCTAAAAACCCCTTACAAAACAACCAAGCACATTCATTAATTAATAATAATAATCCAAGTGCATGTGCCTTCTATAATGACTGCCTTACCACACATACATGTAATCTGTACTGGTATGTATTCATCAGCACAAAACAGGGAACAGTTTGAGTCATAATCATTCTCATGTTTTTCCTGTCCTCAGGGAGCACCCCTTTCAAGCCTTAACATAGTTCCTGTGTGTTCTCTACAACTTCCTCCTCTAGTTCCCCAACCTGACCACACTGTTTTAGTGAGAGTGAGTTCTTCAATATTAAACTTCTGTTTGTAATTTACAGTTAACACGAAAGTTACAACCTCTTAAATAATGCAGCTTATTATAATCAAATGCTTTCCCAGTAAAAATGTTTTGCTCTAGCCAATTACTCACTGTGGCAAAGATAGATATTAAGAGTTGAAAATAAGAAAAATTTTGCATCTCCACTGCAATGACAATTCTTTTTTTTTACCATGTTAGTAAAATTGTAAAAAATACTGACAAAAACAGTGACATGAAAAGTTAGGGTTACATATTCTTCATATATCATTGTTATTATTCATATCAATCAGAAGTAATGTTATACTACATTAAGTATCTGATTTTGCTTACTTATTTTTGTGTGCGTGTGTTTCAGGCATCTTTGAACTGTAATTTTGCAGAACCTCCAAAACCATCTTACAAGAACTATAGGTAATGTACTTGGTGGCAAGCATGTCATGTGTTCAAGTTTGTATATGCTCATTTCCTTTTATTGACAGTTGATAATATTGATAATATTGATAATTTTTGCAAAGTGCCCATAGGTAAGCTTTGCAAATGGGCAGTTTTTAAACCCCTGTGTCATTTGCCATCTATGGCTTGTGGATCATGGTAGGAACTTGGATTTCTCATTTTCATGCATTCCCAAGGATATTTCGGACAGTAACCAAATCCTGTTCTTTAATTTTGATAAAATCTTTTTCCAGTCTTAAGTCATGTTTTCATCGAGCGTATACCACAGTCCACCAAGCATCAGTTGTTCTTAAGGTTGGTAGTGCTATCCACCAGATAAATCACTATCCAGTGGATATGTATAAGGGAGACCAATAATACACAATCCAGTGGATAGAGATTTATCGAGTGGATAGCATTAGGGCAACTGGGGCCTGAAAAGTCACTTGTCACTTATGAGGTTTACTTTACTTCGCTAGGAAGTTTTCATAGCAGTGAACCACATAATATGTTTCTGGTTGTGTTTGATTTCAGGGACAAATGGGATAGAAATCACGTGCGAATGCCTTGCTCCAGCGAAAATCTCTACCCAGGAGAGGTGATAATTTTTTTTAAATGTACGGTCTGAAACCACGAACAAAATATTCTGTGTTTGACTAAGGAAGTACTGTACATGAGAAAGAGGATGAAAGAAAACTTGTTTGGTATTCTTCAGTTGACTCTAAAATATTAATGACAGTTAATAATAACAATAATAATAATAATAATAATAATAATAATAATAATAATAATAATAATAAAAACACGTGTTTAAGTCCAAGATGAAGTCAATGAAAGAAGAAAAGTGGAAAAACAAAGCATTGCATGGCCAGTATCCAAAGATCCTAGAGAAGCCTTATGTAGACACAGTCACCACCAACAAATGGTTGTCAAGTAATTTGAAAGGAGAAACAGAGGGACTACTTGTAGCAGCTCAAGACCAGGCAATAAACACCAGAAACTACCAGAAAGTAATATGTGGCCAGTAAGTGGAGAGCAAATGCAGATTGTGTTCACAACATGAAGAGACAGTGGACCATATTGTATCTGGATGTGAGGTATTAGCGAAAACAGAGTACATCTCCAGGCACAATAATGCTGCAGCGTATCTCCATTGGAGCATATGTAAAGATCATGATATAGAGATTACAGACAAATGGTACGAACACGAACCAGAGACCATGATACACAATAAAGATAACAACATCACCATCATGTGGGACATGCCAGTCAATACTGATAGAACTATAACAGCGAACAGACCAGATATCATTGTTAATGATTCAGTGAATTCCACCTGCAAACTTATTGATATGACTGTTCCATCAGATAGAAACATCGCACTGAAGGAAACTGAAAAAAAATGCAAGTACAAAGACCTAGAACTAGAAATACAGAGAATGTGGCATATGAAAACCGTAGTGATCCCTGTGGTTGTTGGTGCGTTTGGTACAGTNAATACTGACAAAAACAGTGACATGAAAAGTTAGGGTTACATATTCTTCATATATCATTGTTATTATTCATATCAATCAGAAGTAATGTTATACTACATTAAGTATCTGATTTTGCTTACTTATTTTTGTGTACGTGTGTTTCAGGCATCTTTGAACTGTAATTTTGCAGAACCTCCAAAACCATCTTACAAGAACTATAGGTAATGTACTTGGTGGCAAGCATGTCATGTGTTCAAGTTTGTATATGCTCATTTCCTTTTATTGACAGTTGATAATATTGATAATATTGATAATTTTTGCAAAGTGCCCATAGGTAAGCTTTGCAAATGGGCAGTTTTTAAACCCCTGTGTCATTTGCCATCTATGGCTTGTGGATCATGGTAGGAACTTGGATTTCTCATTTTCATGCATTCCCAAGGATATTTCGGACAGTAACCAAATCCTGTTCTTTAATTTTGATAAAATCTTTTTCCAGTCTTAAGTCATGTTTTCATCGAGCGTATACCACAGTCCACCAAGCATCAGTTGTTCTTAAGGTTGGTAGTGCTATCCACCAGATAAATCACTATCCAGTGGATATGTATAAGGGAGACCAATAATACACAATCCAGTGGATAGAGATTTATCGAGTGGATAGCATTAGGGCAACTGGGGCCTGAAAAGTCACTTGTCACTTATGAGGTTTACTTTACTTCGCTAGGAAGTTTTCATAGCAGTGAACCACATAATATGTTTCTGGTTGTGTTTGATTTCAGGGACAAATGGGATAGAAATCACGTGCGAATGCCTTGCTCCAGCGAAAATCTCTACCCAGGAGAGGTGATAATTTTTTTTAAATGTACGGTCTGAAACCACGAACAAAATATTCTGTGTTTGACTAAGGAAGTACTGTACATGAGAAAGAGGATGAAAGAAAACTTGTTTGGTATTCTTCAGTTGACTCTAAAATATTAATGACAGTTAATAATAACAATAATAATAATAATAATAATAATAATAATAATAATAATAATAATAATAAAAACACGTGTTTAAGTCCAAGATGAAGTCAATGAAAGAAGAAAAGTGGAAAAACAAAGCATTGCATGGCCAGTATCCAAAGATCCTAGAGAAGCCTTATGTAGACACAGTCACCACCAACAAATGGTTGTCAAGTAATTTGAAAGGAGAAACAGAGGGACTACTTGTAGCAGCTCAAGACCAGGCAATAAACACCAGAAACTACCAGAAAGTAATATGTGGCCAGTAAGTGGAGAGCAAATGCAGATTGTGTTCACAACATGAAGAGACAGTGGACCATATTGTATCTGGATGTGAGGTATTAGCGAAAACAGAGTACATCTCCAGGCACAATAATGCTGCAGCGTATCTCCATTGGAGCATATGTAAAGATCATGATATAGAGATTACAGACAAATGGTACGAACACGAACCAGAGACCGTGATACACAATAAAGATAACAACATCACCATCATGTGGGACATGCCAGTCAATAATTTTTTTTTAACAGGCAATTTGAATGTAAAAGAATGATAAAACATCTATTTTAAAACAAAATAGTTAAATTTGTCCAATTATCTTGACCTGGAAGGGAAAACAAAGAAAAAGGACACTTGTTTAATATTACATGACCCTGTTACACCACTGACCACACTGCTTGTCTCTGAAATCAAAATGGCTGCTCAGATAGCACGATCAAAGATTTCAGATGTCTTGCAAGGCTTTCTTTAGTGGTAAAAAGCCTTAAATAACATTAAGATTAGGAAAATGTTTGATTAAAGTTAGAATTTATTGTTTACTTTACTTGAATTTAGCATTTTTTTACAAATTATGAAATTTTCCCCAATTGTGCGATCGGATGCGATTTGAGGTCATATTTTATTGTGCCAAATCGCACCATTGCGTAATATCAGATGGCCTGGCTTCCCTTTTTTTACGCCAGTTGACTCTAACATATCAGACCTTAGATATGTCTAGACCACTTTAACATCTCTTGAGCATAAAAATGGCCAATCAGTTCTGTGTTGCTTGAAGGAAAGATAGCTTGTTTCCTCTAATCAGGGTGCTATTCAGAAGATTACCAGGTAATTCAATGGTGATTACAGTCAGAATGTTTCCATGAAAAAGCTAAAACAACCCACACTTTGGCTTACATTTGCATGTCTGTTTTAACATGGAGTTAACATGTATATCCACCAAACTACTAAAGTACCTGCTTTAATGTGCTCGATACTCAATACTATTCGGTAATACTAATCATAGACTTTCCTGTAGGATGCTATCTTAAAGTACAATGCTCGTTATTCAAAAAGGTGGAACTTTGAGGCCCTACACAGCTATTTTAATGAGGTAATAGATTGCGTGATATTTATTGTATTAACATTTTCAATATGTCGTCTTTCTTAATCATTGTATATATTATTAAGTTCTCCCAAACATAAAAGTAGTTTCTTCCAAATGATAAGCTTAGCGATGTGAATTCCATACATGACTGTTTCTTTCTTGTTTACGTACAGATGTTGGATACTAGTGCAAGAGAAGAATTCTTTGAGCAGACATTACCAGCAATGGTAACCTTGGCACTTCGTCTTCCCATTTTGTGTACTCAGGTATCAGGTTTGATAACTGTTCTACTTCATCTTACCATTTCTTTACCTGATATTTACCTGAAGTAGCAGGAAGTGGCGGTAGCTGCCTGTATGTACTGGCTTATTTCTGTGCATTCTTTTGATATTGATGAGTTTAGTATTAAATGCAACTGAAATAATGTTAACTTTCTATAGAATATCTGATTTTCACTCTTCTTCAAAATAAAATTATCTCAAATTTCTGAAGACTTGTCCATTAAAATAATTGCCATATTTCATATTAGTTGTCTAACATGTTGCAAGTGCTCACTTTTACTAAGTGCCATATTTTTATTTCTTTCCAGGCAATTCCTCTTCTAAAACAGCAGCAGAACCACAGTTTAACAATAAGCCAGGAGCAGGTTGGTTTTTCCCTAGTTCAATAATTCTATTATTATTAATCAGAACCTTAAGGGCATGTAATAACACTTAAAAAACTTGGACACCCTAGGAGACCTAAAAGTAAATCACATGCTTATAAAAACCAAACTAGGACTAGGTTTTCCAAATTTTGTGTTGTTAGTCCTACTAATATCCAAGGTGTTCCAGATGTTCCAGGTGCTCTGTGCTTTAGGGTTTCAGTGAATGCCAAATCTTAAGCCTTCAGTGTTCTCACCAGTCTGCGGCCTTGCAGGATTCCCGCAAGACAAGAACGTGATGTCAAAAGATTCAAAGTCTTTAGTTTTATTTTGTTGACTTTCGTTGGTCCCACATGCATTGCAAAGATTGGTGCATGCATCGTTATCAAATCGTAAACACAGGTGTATGCCATATTGGATCAGGTAGGTACTTCATGTAGAGGACAGATCATTTGGAGTGTGCGCTCACTTTGTCCCCCTAATGTTCTTACAGGGCCCCTATTTCTCACCAGAGGAGGCCCTGGCACTCCCCAAGGCATAGTCCTGGTGAGAACACTGAGCCTTAGGCAGCGATGGAGATGTTGATGTACATGAAGGTACCATGCATTAATAACAAAAACCTGTTGCTGAAAATTTAGATGTCACTAGCTCTGTAAATTTTTACATCTAAGAAGAGCCAGTGCTCGCATGATGTCTGACAACACATACATGTACAATTAGTTTGCCGTTCATCAGGCTTGGCATTCGGAAATCTTTCACAGAATTTATCACACTGAACAGGTTGTAAGATCAATTCATTTAATATGAATGTGACTGTTTGAACTTTTATTGCAGGCTGCTTGTTTGTTGGCCAATGCCTTTTTCTGTACCTTCCCAAGAAGAAACTCACACAAGCATTCAGAATATTCATTATTTCCAGACATCAATTTTAATAGGTAAAGCTAAGTTACCTTTTTTAAAATTTTTTTTGCTTCTTTCTTTTAAACTAAAAACTGAAAATGAAGAAATGATCGTCGCAGTGAACGCAATTTATGCAATTGCGTAAAGAAGCCTGAAAGAAGTTCAGGACTTCAACGGGGTTTGAACCCATGACCTTGCGATTACCGGGGCGATGCTCTACCAACTGAGCTATGAAGCCACTGGCGCTGGGAGCAGGACAATAATATTGTGGGTTCATATGTTCCTGTGAAAGAAATGATTGTCAGAAAAAAAAGAACATCAAAAAATTGCAGTGGACAAATGAACCTATGCAATCTGCTTTATTTGTTGGATATTTTTAAGGTTGTTCCAAGGTGGGAAAGGAGGAACAAATTCAGTCAAAACGGAAAAACTACGAGCTCTTTTACATTACTTTAGAAGGATAACAAGGGAAAGTAAGTGACTTGATAGTTTCTGTTGATTATTCCAAAACAGGTTTGGTCACCAGTTATGTTTACAAATGTGAACCTCGTATATAACTGTTCTGTTAAGAGAGAAACAAATTGTTTTTGGTTGCTTTATTGAATTATTAATACTAAGCTTGATGACCAGCTGCTTTTCGGAAATGGAGCCCACAATGCTTCCCTGAAAGACTGGACCCAAGAAAGGGAAGCAGAAAATCAAGTGTAACCTAAAGAACACTGTACAGTGGTCTCTTATCAAGAGTTAACCCTTTAAGCCCCAACATCAACATGCATCTTCTCCACACTGTTCTTCATACATTCCCTATGGTACTGCTTGAGAGAATTTGTTCTATCATCACGACATTTCATCTTTGGTGATCATTTCCTTAATTCTCATGACCTGTCTGTTTGATCAGGCAGTGCTATTATTGGGAGAAATTAGATGTGGGTCACTATTGGGGCTTAAAAGGTTAATACATGTACTGTAGAGACCTTGGCCATTTTGACATCCTCTTCAAATGATTTCATTACATTCACTGCATATGTTGGAAAGAGTTCAAGCTCTTTAAATACTACCTATCCATTTTCCATGCAGCCCAGTCTCAACTTTCCCACAACAAGACTCAACAAATGTCAAGACTATTTGATGGCTGGTTATGTTATCCTTCTAATGGAGACAGACTTCATGTTGTTGACTTGACTTGCTTCTTTGTGACCATACCATACTTGTAATTTCTCAGACATACAGTTAAACTAGAAGCTTGCACTAATGCAGAAGGATAAAATATATTTATTGCTTCTGGGATATGGATAGAGGGCATGAAATGAATATCTTTGTGTGAATAATTTTGCAGGACTCACCTGTTCAGGTGTCATCAGATAAAAGCTGTTACTTATTCATGTTTATTAATCTGTTTTAGGGGATAAAAATGTTTACAATGCAATAACTATAATTTTCTCTTGTATGTTAAGTATTAAAAGGAACCATTTCAAATTCCATGATCACTCATCCCTTCCATAATCTCTTTCATCACAGTGCCGACTGGGACACTGACATTTCAACGGCAGGCTGTCAAGTCTACAGGCTGTCCTGTTTGGGAAAGGTAAATGTTAAAGAGGCCATTTCGTGACAGAGCCCACCACTACAATATGTAACACAACTCTCCTGCCTTAGTAAATTTCTGTATATGTTACAGGTCAAATTTGATTTCAGGTCAATTTCCTTGGTTTGTAGCCTTAATTCATGAATAATCAGGACTAGGAGACAAAGGAAATCGAGAATTAATCTAGGTTAAAGAAATTTAACCTGAAATCAAATTTAACCTGTAACAGATACATTAACCCATTCGCTCCTGGAGATTTTGCCGAAAAACGCGTTTTGAAGCTAGTCGAGTGGTTTTCTGGTCACTGTCGTGCTATAAAGAGTTAAAACTTACCACAAACCGGTTTACAGGTCGTACACTTCATGGCCTTCTGATCCAGATGCAAAATATCAGCTTGCGAAGTTCGGGCATGCGCAGAAAGCTGGGTTTAAAAGTGACACAGTAGTCTTGACTTTTACTTTTCGCTTTCTCTCCTCCCCTCTTTTTTCACTTTTCTTGCCTTATTTTGTTTTTCTCTTGCTGGGCATTTAGTAGGCTTCATTTTGGTGGGAATAGTTTTTAGGAAAGCTTTTAGGATCTTAGGATTAGGTGAAAGGAAAGGCAGGTGGGCAATGGAACAAGATTTTCATGGAGATTTTCAGGTCAATGTTACATGGTTTTTTGCCTCTTTCTCCGGTGTCCTTGACTGAATTGTGCTCATTCTGGTATGGTTTGAAAGATCTCTTCACTCTGCACAAGTTAGCGGACAAAGTTGTCCTTGACCGTTAAAACTGATGACGTCACAAAGGGTAGAAAGGACGTGGATCCGCACGGGCGGTTGCTGGCGGTTCAGGGGCGAATGGGTTAAGTAAACTGTTGCATAATTTAAAAACAAGAAACAAACCAGGGAAAAGCAGTTGACCAAAAAACACAAAAATCATTTATCTTTATGTTTCAGTTGTTCTGCCACCTTTGGTAAACTTCATGTGTCTTCTAAAGGAACTATAGAAGACAATGGAGCAGGATTCCTTCAGGTGAGTTCCTTGAACAGACTGAAACGACTATAAAAACTGTACTCACCCTGACAAAGGTCTAACATTTAAAATCACTAGTGTTTAGAATCTCTTAATGTTAGCGTCTATAATTTAGTTGATAGAACCAATTCTTGTGTTTCACACAGTAGCAACAACACGCAGGGTGACCAACCCCGATTTTATCCTCCCATCAAGAAAAAAAGGTTATGAGAATTGATATAGGATCACTAAAGGGAAAATGCTTTGATCTTTATCAAATTCTCTCAACTAATGTTTAATACATAATAAACAATAATTCAAGGAATTGTTTGGACATCAGTCTTGTATTTGTATTTTGGGTTACAATCCATGTTTAAGCCCTTGTTTGTAATTTAAGCCAGTTTAATTTAAAAAGTTGATGTAGATTTAAGTAATAGCTCCAAAATATTCAAATTTCAGGTTGATTTTGCCAACAAGTACATAGGAGGTGGAGTTATAGGAGAGGTGAGGTTGTATAGACTGACTCCAGTATGTTTAATGCATTAAAGCGCAATTTAAAGAGGTAACAAAAAAGAGTGCGTTCAGAGCTAGCGATCTGTAGCAGGTGTTTCCGTGCAGTTTTGGAGCAAAGAATGAGGAATGAGAGTCAAAGACCAAGCGAAAAATGGGGCTTTTGTTCCATTTTTCACGCAGCCAAAACCGAAAATCCCATTCCTCATCATTCCTTGGTCTTTCTTTGCTCTGGAACCACACAGAAACGCTTTCTCTGCAGGTTGAGCGATATGTGGTTGTTCTGTATGCCCAAGCAAGGGAGTTTTCTACCTTGTTCACGTAATTTGGTGCATATGGAGTTTTCCTCATGCAGGAAGTATGTGCCCCTTGTTTTTGTTTTTTTCTTTTTTTCTTTTTTATCCACTGATATTTTTCAGCATGAGAGGTGCCTGTCCCAGTCATGTTTACTTGGTTATTTCTTTATTACGAAATAACTTAATTACTACTATGTGCACTCTGATTGGTCAATTGAAGAGGGTAACCACTCTTCGTGTTTTTGTTGTTGCTGTTGTTGTTTTTTGCATTCTTTCTGTTTTTCAAGCACCAACTCGGCTATTTTATCTTTGCATAATGTGTGAAATCTTTTACCATTTTCCTCGACTAAACAGCTTGTTGTTGTTGTTTTGGCAGGGCTGTGTACAAGAAGAAATCCGATTCCTTATCTGCTCTGAATTGATTCTCTCTCGGTTGTTTATTGAACGACTTGATGCAAATGAGTGTATTATTATAACAGGTAATTTATTGTACCATAGTACCTACATAGCCAGACAGATTACAGATCCACCACTACTTTGGCCTGTTCCAAGCTTTCAGTTAGACAGAAACGGCAAATAGAAGAAAAGGCATAGAAAAAAATGAACGGGTAAGGACTGGGGAGAGAGAAAGTTCCCGCCCTTTCTTTTCCCGCTGTTTTCTTGCTCACGGCGACTTCCGAGAGCCTGGAGCAGACCACTACCCTTTTATCATTATAACAGGCAATTCACAATACTTCTCCCTCATATCTTGATATTAACCCTTATTATTATATTCCTGAATCCGCGAGCGGCAAGATGAAGCAAATCCTGCATTCTGATTGGCTACCCGAGCGGGGACCATCTTGCCCGGCTCGGGATTTCCCGCGTCGGTCCCGCAAGTATAAAGTTCTCTTTTTGGCCATATAATAAATCCTTTGTTGACCAAGCTTGTTGGTTCAAGATGACTGAATATTGGCCTCGTTCCTTTTTGTGTTTTTAACCAGTGTCCAGCCATCTTGACCTAACAAGCGTGGTCAGTAACTCATACCGGTATCTAAAGTCATGGCAAAAATAATGTCCTTAACCTCTATACAGTGTAAGAGGTAAACGACGTTATATTAAATCGATTTACTGGATTGTGTTTAAAGGGCTGTGATTCCTGATAAACTGGTTTTACTGGATTGTGTTTATACTTGTTTGATGGTTTGTGTGTGTAGGTGCTGAACGGTACAGTGACTATGTTGGTTATGCACATACGTTCAAATGGGCTGGAAACCATGTTGATCAAACAACACGGTGAGAAATTACTGTATTTCTTCCTTTATATTAGCGCCCAGGAAGCCCTAATTTATTTCGGTGCTCCACGACTTAGTGCTTTCTAGAAGCTTGGGATTTAAAACCTTTGTTTTATTAGAAATTCACATACATAATCTCTAGTTTAGCTCACAAAATGCGCCATAGTGCCTAACAAAGTGATAATAATATTGTTTATTTTTTTTATTTTTTTGAGGCGGTTGGGGGCTGTGAACGCAGTCTTTTTTGCGGCTGCCGCTTTTTTGCCGGAACTATTTATTTTTACTCTCTATATATCTATTTGTTTCAATCTCGCCGGAGAGAAGTAACCTCTCAGAATATGACAACAAAATTCACCTATCGTAAACTGAAAAAGCTCGTTCAGTATCTTGCGCCCTTTTTTTCCAAGGTTATTTGTCCCTCGCTTATAACATGTTGAATATTAAATCTTTTTTTTTATTTATTAGTAAATAATGTATTTTTTCCAGAGACTCGTGGGGACGGCGGAACACTAAGATAGTGGCAATAGATGCGCATGTATTTCGTTGTTACACGGACCAACTTGAAGCTGGTCTGCTTAAGCGAGAACTTAACAAGGTAATATGCAAACTATTTAACTTATCGCTTCCTCTGCTTTTGCAGTTAAGGGCCTGTTTACATGGAGGTGAGGGACCCCAGGTAGGTGAGGTAACCCGCTTAGGTGGGGTAACCCGCCTGTCCATATAATCTCTCATTTCAATTTGATCACGTTTACATGATAGGTGGGGTGACCCGCCACATGTTACCTCACCTACCTGGGCTCCCCCACCTCCATGTAAAAAGACCCTAACTTGGGGTCTTGCGGGCAGGACAATGATTTAAATCAGAAGAGAGAGGAGAGAAGAACTTTAATACAGTCTTAGTGGGTCGTTAAAATGGGAGGCACGTTGTCATCTTAAGAAACAGCTTAATATAGTGAGAGCGCCAGTTGAGGTAAAAAAAAACACTAAATACTCTCGATTTTTTGTTGTTGTCGTTTTTTTCAGGCATTCTGTGGGTTTCATTCAGACCAAAAATATCTCCCAGCCATTGCTACAGGTCAGATAAGTTTTATATCGGTTATTTTTATATAAATTATTTACTTAGTAAATAGGTGCAGACAAGAGGAGACCTTTGCGGATTGGCGATTCTCTTTATATATTCGAGGCGGGGGACTATTTTTGCGATCAGTTCAGATGGGTTTCTCACTGGGAATTAATTTTTGCGATCTTAAGGAAGTTCGTTCATGATTAATTTCGTTTACTAGGGTCAAAAGACAGGCGGGGGAATATCCCAAAAAAAAATACCGTTGTCGTTTTAAGTACGTAAAGTCGGTGTTGTCATGCTATTATGTCGTGCTCTTGCACATCTGTAGTCGATTTCACTAATGTAGGGTCTGATTCATGCTAGCCTGCGTAGCAAGCGTTTCCGTTTGGTTTCGGACAAAAGAAAGACCGAGGAACGGGATTTTCGGTTTTAGCCGCAGAAGAAATGAAACGAGAGCTAGAAAAATGAAGGAGGGGGGAGGGGAGGGGGAGGAGATCTAACCCAATGGCCCACCCCCTCCCCGCTCTTTTACTTGCGCTATTTTTCGCGTGGTCTTTGACTCTCGTTCCTCGTTCTTTTCTCGTAAACCGCACGGAAACGCTTGCTACGCAGGCTAGATTCATGCTAATAACCAACTCAATCGATATTTCTCTTCAGAGCAATGGCGATGTTTTCTTTTTTAAAAAAAAAAAAAAACTAAGGCTATGTTTACACTATACCGGATAGGCACGAAAACCATATCGGATATAGCCTTTGTTCACACATAAACTTGCTACGCAGGCTAGATTCATGCTAATAACCAACTCAATCGATATTTCTCTTCAGAGCAATGGCGATGTTTTCTTTTTAAAAAAAAAAAAAAACTAAGGCTATGTTTACACTATACCGGATAGGCACGAAAACCATATCGGATATAGCCTTTGTTCACACATAAGAACGGTGATTTCGGCGCGATTTCTGTAACGGAACGAAGCTGCGCTCCGCCGATCTCTAAAGGGGAGAGTCACATATCGGATAGATGTTCATACTCTACCGGAAAGCTTTTCTTGTCGGTACGAAAAGTTTTCCGAGACAGTGTGAACATGGCCTAATAATTTTGACCATAGAGTAAATTTTGCGAGTTAAAATTTTGTGGTAGTTTTTATTGGTGGGAACTTTTTTGCGGATCGCGGGAAAAAGCCCGCGCAAAAATCGTATAAATGAGAACCGCATATATTCGTAGACAAAATTCTTTGGTTGCTTTTTGAGAACATAACCTGACTAACATTGCTTTTACTTATTCAGGAAACTGGGGGTGCGGCGCATTTGGTGGAGACCCAAGACTAAAAGGTACAAGAAAACCGAGTAACTTGTCTTTCTGCTTACATGATTGTTCCAACAGTTACAATTTGCTTGATCACATCTTTACTGTTTACTCGTTCTGTTTTTTTTTTTAAATTTAAACAAGATATGGAAAAATTAATGTCTAGCAGTTCAGTCCTTTCCTCTGCCGTGCCGTGTCTTTCCCTATAACACCTAATCTTCTTAACTGTACTTTGCTGATCGGTTGTTTTACCAGATGATAACTTGTTTGTATATCTGGACATATCTGTATGCTAGTTACTAATCCTAAAGGTGTGCAAAAGGCGCATAGGAAATGACCTAGTTCGCCACAAGGTAGCCTGGATCTGGAAGCAGTCTTTTCCGTTTCCCCTTTAGCCAAGCGAGAGATGCGCGGGAGACGCGCGAGGGGCCCTCGCGTGACGCCCTCGCTTGACTGAAAGGAAACAGAAACGACTGCCACACAGTCTCACCACCTGTCTCTTTGCAACCTCGATATGTTGGTCTCTCTTCTCTCTTTTCCCGTCACATGGCCTCTCTCCTGTACACCAAGGAACCGGGAGACCCTGGCAACGAGGCTGGTCCGTCCGTTACTCTCTGAGTTCATATCTCGTGGAGGACCCTGATTTCATCCTTTTCCCACGCTTGACTTAAAAAACATTTTGTCTTGCTCCTATCCTAGATCCACATTACGCGTCACATTGTTTTTTTGTCATCTTCAGGGTTGATTCAGATGATGGCTAGTGCTGCCTGCTCCAGGGACCTTGTTTATTTCACGTTTGGTGACGTTGTAAGTTTCAACGATTTTCATATATATTTTCTTTTCGTCTCGTTTCTTTTCGTTTTCAATCTTTTCTTGGATACGGTAGTTAACCAATAATAATAATACTCAATTCATTTACTTACGGAACTTTACAAATACTTGGTATTTCTTTAGGGACTGGCAGACGATCTCCTGGATATCCACTCGTTTATAACAGAAAGAAAGCTAACAGTGGGTAGGTAAAAAGCTGCCGCAGGTAATAAATTGCGTTGTTATCTGCCGTGTAGTAGCGTTCAAAGAGGCCATGTTCGGGTGAAATTCCGACAAGCGACATAGCCTCGTAAAGATGGCTTAAACACCGAGAAAAGACTAGGGACATACGTACCCCCGCCCACCTATGAGGGCCCTTCCGAAGAATTATTTCCACTGAGTTGCAGTCAAGACACGTGTGCTCCTTGTTTTGTAGTTGCTGTCTTATTGAAGTCTAGATTGCATTGCCTACGCGGGAGTTGATTCTTTGTAGCATGTAACTGAACCCTTGTTTTTTTCGGACCTTTCTTTGCAGGTGATGTTTGGAAAATGATTCAGCGGTACGGAAAAGAAATTCGTGCGGCGAGCTCTGTGACGGTCAAGCTTTACGTGTTTATGCGGCAGTTACAAGATCAATATGAATGCGACACTGACCATGAACAATCGGAAGACAAACAAGAACAATGCGAAGCCACGTTGAGTTACATTCTAGAACCTGATTCAGATTCCTACAAGGATAACACGCCCTAGAGATTTTCACTGAAATTGTGTCGAGTCCTTTTTTTCTAACCTTCCCTTTGCCCTACACCCCCCCACCCCAACAGTCGCCCGTTGAGGGGAGGGATGGGGCGAAGTGACGGCTGACATTTCAGACTACTGAGTATTTCGTTCTTAGTTAGAAGCTAAAAATGATACATTTCGGTTATTACTCCTTAGCCTGCGAGCAAGCTCTCCATTTGGGGGAGAGCTTGCTCGCAGGCTAATTACTCCTGGGAGATTTAACAAGTGTCACAAAAAGAGTATCTAAGACAAATATATTTATATAGTACATACTATCGACAAATTATTTTATGATATATTTTTGTCTGGTTCTCTATTTTTGTCTTAGCTTCTCTTGGAGGCATGCGGGTAAAGTATTATTTCGTTTTCACGCTTCAAACTAAAAACAAAACGAGCGAAATAATTGGTTGAAGAAGTTATAAGGGCCGTGGAAGAATCTATGCGGGAGAATTACCTAATTATAACGTTTTGTGGAAATAAAGATCCCTAAACAGTAACTCCTCTCATGTCTTGTCTTATGTGCAACTAGTTATTTTAGATCGCCGCTCAACGAAGTACAGTGCAACCTCGTTAATGCGACCACCGTTGGGCCATAAAATCCTGGTCGTAATAACGAGGTGGTCGCATTAACGGGGTCTTCAAAATAATAAAATGACTCAATGGTTTTTACGTTTGGTTTGAAAGAATATGGCCGTAATAACTAGGTGGTCTTATAAACGGGGTGGTCGTAAGGCGGGGTTCCACTGTAACGAGGTGGTCGCATTAACGGGGTCTTCAAAATAATAAAATGACTCGGTGGTTTTTACGTTTGGTTTGAAAGAATATGGCCGCAATAACTAGGTGGTCTTATAAACGGGGTGGTCGTAGGGCGGGGTTCCACTGTACAAGTTTTACGGTTTCCTTTTCTTTGGCAAAACAGAAGAATAAAAAGAGGGCGTAAAGCGAATTCCCGCCTGGGCTGAATCGTCTCAAAACAGAACTTGCAAATGCCGCGGCTCCAACTTATGGTCAAGGCTAGAGTTATATTTTTTCAGAGACATATTCTGTGAGTGCAATATATAGTTTATTCAGGGGGATAAATGAAAATTGTTTTAACCACAATGTAGGCCCGGTTGTATGGACTGTAATACTTGAGGAGCTTAGCCAATCAGCAGCAAATTAATTAACCAAGTTGGTAGACTTGCCTGTTGGGTTAGCTGACCATGAGAACTTTCCATTGCAGCATATCCTGTGAGTGAACTTGTGAAGAAAGCTTAATCTACACGTCTTCATTGACGATAACGGCCAAAGAACCAATCAAATTAATGCTAGCGGTAAAACCGCTCGATAGGACTAAGCATACAAACAGGGTCAAACAGGAACTTCAGTGGGGGTAAAACTCACGTTCAGCTATAATCCAGGAAAATGCTATACCTTAACAAATCCTTCTAATAGACGATATTGCTCACCCGGCAAACACTCAGGAACCGTCGTCAGGAAATATACCTTGGACTATAAACTGTTTATTTTAATAACAAACTCGCACGTACTACCAGGTTCAAAGTAATTATTCGGATACTCTATGCACGAGAAAAACCTTGAAAACGACAACACACTCGCCCGTTGATATATAGAGAGAAGACACTTCTCGGCAGTAGGCAGCACATATTTTTTTACTAATCTCTTTCTTTCAAGCTGTAGAGCTATCTTTGCAATTTACTCCCTAGTTCCAATTCAGTTTTCAAAGCCATTCGACGCCGTTTTTTTAAACCGTTTTCGTCGCGATACATACTCAATGCTTTCCACCTTTCAACTACCCCACCTTAAAGGGTCTACACGGGTCCTGGCCAATTTTTGAACTGACAAAAACTTGCATAGGTCCGCCTTTCGTTTTCACGGGACCTGCAGAACCGTGTACGTTTTTGAACGGCGATCAGTACTGTAATCTGTAACAGAATTTGCACGGTTCCTTGTAAAGGTAAAAAAATTCGTCCGTTCAAAACTTTTCCGGGCCGTGTGAACTTAGAGATGCTCGGTTCCCTCCGAGCCTCCCCTGGATGTTCTAGGTTTTTTGCGTGCTTTCTGTTAAAGTAGCATGGTAAAAAAATGTGAAATTTTCACACCTCAGAGCAAGACCGAACAATTAACCAAAGTTGGGCCATCTGAGAGTATTAAATTGATACCTAAAACATATAGACTGTCCTAACACCAAAATTTCTAAGTACGGTAAAATAGAAAGAGAATTTTTTTTGCTTTTAACAAGACTAGGGACATACGTACCCCCGCCCACCTATGAGGGCCCTTCCGAAGAATTATTTCCACTGAGTTGCAGTCAAGACACGTGTGCTCCTTGTTTTGTAGTTGCTGTCTTATTGAAGTCTAGATTGCATTGCCTACGCGGGAGTTGATTCTTTGTAGCATGTAACTGAACCCTTGTTTTTTTCGGACCTTTCTTTGCAGGTGATGTTTGGAAAATGATTCAGCGGTACGGAAAAGAAATTCGTGCGGCGAGCTCTGTGACGGTCAAGCTTTACGTGTTTATGCGGCAGTTACAAGATCAATATGAATGCGACACTGACCATGAACAATCGGAAGACAAACAAGAACAATGCGAAGCCACGTTGAGTTACATTCTAGAACCTGATTCAGATTCCTACAAGGATAACACGCCCTAGAGATTTTCACTGAAATTGTGTCGAGTCCTTTTTTTCTAACCTTCCCTTTGCCCTACACCCCCCCACCCCAACAGTCGCCCGTTGAGGGGAGGGATGGGGCGAAGTGACGGCTGACATTTCAGACTACTGAGTATTTCGTTCTTAGTTAGAAGCTAAAAATGATACATTTCGGTTATTACTCCTTAGCCTGCGAGCAAGCTCTCCATTTGGGGGAGAGCTTGCTCGCAGGCTAATTACTCCTGGGAGATTTAACAAGTGTCACAAAAAGAGTATCTAAGACAAATATATTTATATAGTACATACTATCGACAAATTATTTTATGATATATTTTTGTCTGGTTCTCTATTTTTGTCTTAGCTTCTCTTGGAGGCATGCGGGTAAAGTATTATTTCGTTTTCACGCTTCAAACTAAAAACAAAACGAGCGAAATAATTGGTTGAAGAAGTTATAAGGGCCGTGGAAGAATCTATGCGGGAGAATTACCTAATTATAACGTTTTGTGGAAATAAAGATCCCTAAACAGTAACTCCTCTCATGTCTTGTCTTATGTGCAACTAGTTATTTTAGATCGCCGCTCAACGAAGTACAGTGCAACCTCGTTAATGCGACCACCGTTGGGCCATAAAATCCTGGTCGTAATACAGTGGAACCCCGTTAATGCGACCACCGTTGGGCCATAAAATCCTGGTCGTAATAACGAGGTGGTCGCATTAACGGGGTCTTCAAAATAATAAAATGACTCAATGGTTTTTACGTTTGGTTTGAAAGAATATGGCCGTAATAACTAGGTGGTCTTATAAACGGGGTGGTCGTAAGGCGGGGTTCCACTGTAACGAGGTGGTCGCATTAACGGGGTCTTCAAAATAATAAAATGACTCGGTGGTTTTTACGTTTGGTTTGAAAGAATATGGCCGCAATAAATAGGTGGTCTTATAAACGGGGTGGTCGTAGGGCGGGGTTCCACTGTACAAGTTTTACGGTTTCCTTTTCTTTGGCAAAACAGAAGAATAAAAAGAGGGCGTAAAGCGAATTCCCGCCTGGGCTGAATCGTCTCAAAACAGAACTTGCAAATGCCGCGGTTCCAACTTATGGTCAAGGCTAGAGTTTTATTTTTTCAGAGACATATTCTGTGAGTGCAATATATAGTTTATTCAGGGGGATAAATGAAAATTGTTTTAACCACAATGTAGGCCCGGTTGTATGGACTGTAATACTTGAGGAGCTTAGCCAATCAGCAGCAAATTAATTAACCAAGTTGGTAGACTTGCCTGTTGGGTTAGCTGACCATGAGAACTTTCCATTGCAGCATATCCTGTGAGTGAACTTGTGAAGAAAGCTTAATCTACACGTCTTCATTGACGATAACGGCCAAAGAACCAATCAAATTAATGCTAGCGGTAAAACCGCTCGATAGGACTAAGCATACAAACAGGGTCAAACAGGAACTTCAGTGGGGGTAAAACTCACGTTCAGCTATAATCCAGGAAAATGCTATACCTTAACAAATCCTTCTAATAGACGATATTGCTCACCCGGCACACACTCAGGAACCGTCAGGAAATATACCTTGGACTATAAACTGTTTATTTTAATAACAAACTCGCACGTACTACCAGGTTCAAAGTAATTATTCGGATACTCTATGCACGAGAAAAACCTTGAAAACGACAACACACTCGCCCGTTGTTATATAGAGAGAAGACACTTCTCGGCAGTAGGCAGCACATATTTTTTTACTAATCTCTTTCTTTCAAGCTGTAGAGCTATCTTTGCAATTTACTCCCTAGTTCCAATTCAGTTTTCAAAGCCATTCGACGCCGTTTTTTTAAACCGTTTTCGTCGCGATACATACTTAATGCTTTCCACCTTTCAACTACCCCACCTTAAAGGGTCTACACGGGTCCTGGCCAATTTTTGAACTGACAAAAACTTGCATAGGTCGGCCTTTCGTTTTCACGGGACCTGCAGAACCGTGTACGTTTTTGAACGGCGATCAGTACTGTAATCTGTAACAGAATTTGCACGGTTCCTTGTAAAGGTACTGCACAGGTAAAAAAATTCCTCCGTTCAAAACTTTTCCGGGCCGTGTGAACTAAGAGATGCTCGGTTCCCTCCGAGCCTCCCCTGGATGTTCTAGGTTTTTTGCGTGCTTTCTGTTAAAGTAGCATGGTAAAAAAATGTGAAATTTTCACACCTCAGAGCAAGACCGAACAATTAACCAAAGTTGGGCCATCTGAGAGTATTAAATTGATACCTAAAACATATAGACTGTCCTAACACCAAAATTTCTAAGTACGGTAAAATAGAAAGAGAATTTTTTTTGCTTTTAACGGAGTAGCCCGACAGCTACGACGAAAAAATATTTTTCAAGTCTGGGTAACCTGTGCGCAAAGCGGAAAAAAAACAGATGACGTAACAAACTTGATTTTCAAGTCTCGTGACGTTCCAGCGAAAAGGTTGCACATGCAAACCGGCACCGGCTTCGCGCGCTCGGTAAAGGTGAAAGAGAAAAGGAAAATTGCTGCAGCGGTCTTGGCAAAGCTTCAAGAAATCCCATACAATGAGTTCTGCGAAGAGAAAGAGGCTTGAAGCAACCGCCAGCGAGATACAGTTAAATGGAGTGCACGAGAATGGCTACTTTTGCGGAAACGAAGTTGAGGCAAACGACCGCGACACCAACAATGGCCTTTCTAAACAAGAAATCATAAGACTTCGAAACAAGCACATAGGGTAAGGTAATTCCCTTCGAATATTGCAGCTTGTAAACGTTAATTATTTTGTTGAAGAGACGAACAGTCGGTCGTTGTTATCATTATGTAACATACCGCCGTCTTAGCTTAGAGAACTCTAATGGCCAAAGATGCGTCGTACTCGTATATTTCAAGCCTTGCATTGTAGTAAAAGTCCTAGAGTTTGCTTATCGGCTATAAAGTTAGTTCAGCGGTAAGTTGGAAACCCTACGCGACTGTAAAAAAATGTAGGATAAACGTAACCTTTGAAAGAAAAGCGAACATTGATTTAGAATTCGAGTTCAAACACAGTTGCCATTCATTCAGCGTAGAAGAAGTTCAACAGTTTGTCGAGCGTGGTCGGGAATATAACGTTGAAGTGAAGAACGTAGTGCCGGTCCGATGTCTGTCTGAAAAGAAGTGTTAATGGGCGGTGCTCTAGCTTTTATAGGTCATATTGGTCAAAGTCCATGCTAATTTCCTAGTGTTGCATCATGCGTTTCGCTCCTGATTGGCCATTGATGGGTCATTCGATGTTGTACGTGATGTGGCCTTGACAAGGGGGTGGGTCGGAATGAAGTGGTATATTAAAGTGACATTTTCACACCCAGTGTTTGATCTGATATGTGGACACTAATGAAAAGTGAGAGTGAAATTCTGAGAGTCAGCATAGCCTGCGTGGCAGGCGCGAAAAGGGGAGGGAGAGGGGGGAGGGAGAAAGGGAAAAGGGAAGGGAACGCCTGCTCTAAGAGCCTATGTTTTTGCATAACGCCTACCAATTTTCTAGTAATCCGATTACGCTTACTGTCAATCAAGTGTCGCTACACTCGCCATTGCAGAAAAACGTTACACTCATGGACTAAAGAAATTTGCTTAGTTATTCAGATCCAGAAGGCACTTTGGAGAAATTTGGAACCCTTATTCAGCCGTAATAAAAAAAGCTTTACGCTTCAAAAGAGGTCAAAGAAATTGCGCTTGCATCAGAGGGCAAATCCTGCCGACCAGAAAACAATAACTACAGTCAATCGATATGTATGTCATGACCTCTCAGTGAGAAACATGTGGCTAAAATAACGTCACTGTAACGTTTGCTCAGTATAAATGCAGAACCTTCCAGAGCATAATCTACCCAGCAGATAAAAACAACTTTATTGGAATAAGCAGCATTTTGGCATGAGGTAAAACCACCCTCTTTTATTGCTAAGTTACATCGGCGAATGTCATTGTTCGATAAATTGGCTAAATCTTTCACTGGGTAGCCCAACAATTCCATCTCCTGCAACTGGTCTTCGATAATACTTTTCAGTGGCGAAATGACGAGAATCGCCGCATTACCATTTAGCTCGTAGTTCTTCGCGCGTACAAACATTTGGTAAATTAAACTCTTGCCGTATCCGGTCCGCAAAACCGCCACAACATCTCTGTCGGCTAAAAGAGCCCTTACTGCTGATTCTTGCTCTGGTTTTAAAACAGTTTCTCTACCACTAGATAAATTCACATCTGTCAAAGCACTCTCTACGACATCCACGTCTACCGCTGCCATCTCGACTGTTTGTTGATTTGTGAAACATGCATTTCAATATGTTACTCATTACGGCTCAGCCAATCAGGAATTTGCAGACGCCAGCGTCCGCAGATATGAACAAAAGGGGGTTCTTAGAGCAGGCGTCCCCTCCCCTTTTTCCCTTCCTCCCTATCCCCTACCCCTACCCCTTTTGACGCCTGCTACGCAGGCTAAGTCAGCAAGACTCAACATTTCATGACGCACACAAGGCACTGAGCAGATTACAAAAGTACATAGCCTCCAAGTTATATGCAACAGGGTCTTTCTAACTAAAAAACCAGAAATCTCACGCAATGAAATGTGAGCAAGATCACACTGTGCTACTGTATAAATATAACCAGATTTCAGATTTTTTTTATTTTTTATTTTTTGCTTTGTTACAAGGGTTACTTCATAGATTACAATAAATTACAAGAGGAGGAAACAAAACGAGAACTTCAAATAACATAAGTCATAAAAGGTGAAATGTGTGCAGTGACCAAAGGAGCTTAAGGAAGGCTTTCAAGTTGTTTGCTGCCACGTGCAATTAACAGGCATAGACATTTAAATAAAAACTACAAGTAATGCACTATGGGGAATAGGAAAATGAAAACAAAAAGTCGTACTAATTACGATTTTTTAAAAACAATGGAAATGATTTTTAATAGTGTGGGCAAAGAAATCAAATTACTCATTAGTAATTGAAAAGGTTGAACTTATTTTGCCTATAGCTGTTATACTAACAAGATATACAGCTTTTTTAATTCGGAGGGAATAGTTTCCCAAATTTTAGATCCAACAAAAGCAAAAGTGGCAGCTCCATAATTATTGCTTATACTTTGTCGATGAAAATTAAGGCTGGAGTCAAATCTAGTGTTGTAACTATATGGATCTAAAAAGTACGAACTTATCAGGTTTGGTTAATGTCAGTGAGATTTTCATGTGAATTATTTGCAATGATTTTGATCTGAAGAAGGTAGCAATTTTAACCAAAACATTCTTTGCAGGAAAGCCTGTGAATTGCATTTTAAGGAAGAGCCGATCAAGATTGCATATGCCAGAGGACAGTACATGTATGATGAGAAAGATAATAGATATCTGGATTGTGTCAATAATGTTACCCATGGTATGTGCATGCCACCACTTGATTCACAGTGCTGTCTATAAAAGAATACAATGTACTAATAGGCAAATTTCGTATTTCATGGGGGCCCTGGGTATTACCATATTCCAAGCTTTGCATTTTTGTTAAAATCTCTAACCAACCACTCCCTTCATCAATTTCTGGTCAGACTCAAGTTTCCCTCGGTGATCATGCAGAGAACCTCCTTTTATTGTTTGAAATAATGATCTTTCAAGATTGTAAGTAAGTTTAATTGAGCCCTTCAGATCCAGGACCTTCCAGCATTAAACATTTTCCTTGTTTTCTGGCAACTCAGCTGCAGTTTTCTCATGTTTGTTTGTCCTCTTGGTGAGAAGTTCCTTTCATTAGCTTAACTTTTGCACAAAATCAAGCACTCATCTTACATGTAGGCCCAGCGTGCAAAGAAAGTCGTGTCTGATAGCCCGGGGCTAGTGGATTTTGCTGTCGGGCTAGTGATTTTTGTTCTTAACTTGCCCGACGGGCAAGTGCTGTTTTGAGGGGAAATTCAAATTACAGAAGGATTGTAATCAATCCTGCTAATCAAAAAGGATTTTTGGGCTAGTTGAAATGACTTGTGGGCTAGTACATGCTAGCTACAGCTTGCCCGAATGGCAGGTTGTAAAACTGACTTTCTTTGCACCCTGAGGCCAGTCAGGAATACAACAATTCAACACTTGAAGAGAAAATTCGTATCTCCACATGGCCATGTAATATCCTCCATATATAAAAGGTTAGGGATATGTTAAAGGACCAAAAAGAGCTAGCAGATTATTTTATGAACATGAAAGAGACAAGAAAGCTCCTTGGTATAGTGATTTGTTAATATTAAAAAGAGGGTACATTTACAGCATTTAAAAGGGATGAAAATATAAATATTGAAAACAAAACAGCAAAGAAACAACGACTTGAGGTTTCCTGATATTTCGGACGGATAAGCCGTCCTTGAACTAGCATATGAAGGGGGTACTTTTTGTCAGTAAAAGGTATACAGAAGGTATACCATTTCTGTTAAGGTTTGGACCTTGGGGCAGAGCTTCCTCGTATAAATCATATTGGAGTAACATGGATTTTTGTTCACCGTATCTTTAAACAGAAGAAAACTCTGTCTAAGTCCACTTGACTTGTATATTTGCCTAAAAAGTGTTTGATGCATTTTTAATTTTAGTGGGTCACTGCCACCCTCATGTCGTCAAGGCATGTCACGAGCAAATGGCAACATTAAATACCAACAGCCGCTTCTTGTATGACATTATTGTTCAGTATGCACAAAGATTGGCAGCAATCTTTCCTCCTCAGCTGAGCCATTGCTACTTTGTCTGCACTGGGTAAGTTGACTTTACAGCTGTTTGATTCCTGCTTTGGACCAAAGTAGTGGGAGTGGTGGTTTTGCTTGTTAGCTATAATTCACTATCACAGGAAGAGCACTAATGTACTGCTAACCAGGCCCACTGCTTTGGTGTAGGAGAATCATTACAATAATAATTTATTATTGCCTCATTAGCCTGAGCTTAATCATTCTCACATGATCATATTATTTATGAAAATAGCAGCTCTTAAGATTGAAAGGGCAAAGGCAGAAAAAAATAACATTGTATGTGTAAAAGCCTGTGGACAGAGCACAATAATAGCAACAACAGCACTTTTATTCTGTTTTTGAAAAAAATATATTACAGCACTGTGACAACCTGCAGTTAGAAATCAAGCTAGTCCAGATGGGTTACAAAGAAAGTGAAACAAAATTTTCACTCGCAGTCAATCTTATAAAAGAAGTAAAATTGTTTCCTACTGTAATTCACCTGAATGAGTGATAAATAATAAATAATATTATTTATCTTAAATTATTGTTTAAGAATATTATTATCATGCATTTTCAGGTCAGAAGCAAATGATCTTGCTTTAAGAATAGCAAGACAGCATACAGATGCAGAAGATATGATTATAGTGGACAGGTAGGCCTAAAACGTTTACGAATGTCAGATCATAATATTTCTTTAGGTTCCATGTTGTGTGGCCTAATAATAGGACCAGCTAGTTCATTTGGTGGAATATGAGTTTGAATATGAGGTATTTCTGTTCCTATCACTGCTAAAGTAATCACAGATTTAGGGGGGTGCATTCAGCAATGGCAGACGTCCAGTTTACCAGTTAACTACTAATTGCTAGTACTTCCCAAGCCAAAATTATTACATGTATGTCCTTTGATAAGCAAGGTGTGTGGTGGTTGTGTATCTTGTTTCCCTTTGCCTGTAAACCCAACGTTAGAATCCTCCTTTGTCCATCCTAATGTCAGTGATCAGTTAATGAGTACTACACTGTACAGTATGTGCTATTTACAATGTGTGTTATTTGCTGCGTTAATCCAAAATGGATCACAGTGCTGTATCCCTGCATGTGATATATTTCCAACATGCATGCACGAAGGACTCGTGGCGAATGGGCCATATGCACCTCCCAAGGTTCCCATTCACAACTTCTCCACATCAGCAGCACCACTGGGAACTCTTCATTTCCACTATGTTCGATCTCAGTGTCTGGTAAAGTTTCTATAAGCCCACGCAGAGTTGGGAGTCTTGGTTGTCCTTACCCAAGAACTCAAACTTAAGTTTTTGTAATATGATGAAAAATTATGACCTAGTATTGTTAACTGCACTTAAATCTTCTTATCATTGCCGTCTCCTCATTTCCCAGTTTGTTGACCCTAATGCCTATGTTGTCTTGTCAACAGAGCATATCACGGCCACACTGCAGCATTAATTGATATCAGTCCATACAAGTACACAAAACTGGGTCCAAAAGGGAAGAAGGATCACATACATGTAGCCCCCACCCCTGATCCTTTTAGAGGAATATTTCAGGGTGAAGCTACCCCTGAAATGGGAGAGAAATATGCCTTAGAGGTTAAAAAACTTATTGATCAGGCACAGAAAGATGGAAGGAAGGTAAGTAAATCTATTGATTAAAAGATTCATGTATGTGAGAAATTTTACTGGAGTTGTTGATAAAATTGAATCTAAAGAATTATGGATTAAATATTCAAGGACACAGGGTTCAATTGAATTGTTTTTGTTCCCACGAACTGTGTTCAGAAACCTTTAGGAACAAATGGAGCTAAGGAGGACTTGCAACTCTGTGCAATTTTCATGCTACTGTATAATTGCATAACTCTATATCTTTCGACCTCAGATCGCTGGTTTTATCAGTGAATCAATGCAAGGCTGTGGTGGTCAGATTGTTTACCCTCCAAACTACTTGAAAGAAGTCTACAAGTAAGCACTGTAAATAACCACGAGGATTACTTTACATTTTTTCTTATCATGGAATAGGTTATGTTGCTGATAAGAGGTGCATTATACATGAACAGTTAGCTCATACGTCAGCATACAATGATTGCCGCTATCCATCCTCTTGTGAGCTTACTGTACACATGTATGAGATGCAATGAGTGAAGTGATTACAAACTAATAGAGGTAGCTAGACCACACCAGGTCAGGGAAACCGCTTTTCCTTTTTAGGTGATATGGTGTCCTGTAGTCAGAGATTAGCATGGGATTTTGGAAAGAGTGTATGTGAATTTTTATGGTTAAAGAATCTTTTCAATTAGTGCCTAGTTGCGTAGGAGAGGGTTGCATATTTCAATTGATTGTGCTTTGATAAAGGCCAAAAGTCCCAGCACCAGTGCATTCTCACCCAACAATATTCATGGGTACTAAACTAAAAGTATGCTATAAAAAGTCATACATGTACTTGGAAATTGTGAAGTTCTGATCTGTGTGACCAATCTTACATGGTTTGGAAATCACATAAGACCGTAGTTAACTTAACAGTACTGCTGTGTTGTTTTAAAGGTATGTGCGAGAGGCTGGTGGAGTATGCATTGCTGATGAAGTACAGGTTGGATTTGGACGAGCTGGAAAGCACTTCTGGGCATTTGAGTCTCAAGGTAAGTTTGAATTTCAAACCAAAACATTCTAGGACAACATGTTTTACTTGAAGTGTAACAGGTAATGTGAAATTTGTTGGAAGTATTAAAACAAATTTTTAGGTTGCACAAACATAGCCAAAAATAATAAAGTAAAGATTTGATTTTCCCTGATTGATGTCAAACTGAATCAATTACCTTCACCTCTGATTTAGAAAATTTTAAAAAATGCATGCAATTTACATTACTTTATCTCCATTGAGGAGATGTTTTTGTTTTCATTGAAGACATCACATAATCCTCTGTCACTTTTACTAAATTACTTATAATAGAAATACTTACCAACAAAATTCCTGCGGACCAGTGACTTTTGAGTAAGTAGTTTTAAAACAAGCAGTAATTGCTTCAATGCAGCTTCTGGTGGTTTTGCATGATTATAACTGGTCAATGTTAGGATGTAGACCAATTGTCCACAGTGTGAGTAGTTGTGGAGTGTACAGTACATGTACAGTGGCCTGCAGATCATAACTGTGCTTCTCCTTAGATGTTGTTCCGGACATCGTTACTTTTGGCAAGCCTATAGGGAATGGCCACCCCTTAGCTGCTGTGATTACAACCTCCGAACTGGCAGAATCTTTTGCTTCCACTGGCATGTCATATTTCAATACAGTAGGTTTACTGTCAGTTGATAACAGGGTACAAAGAAAGTCAGTTTTACACTTGCCTAAAGGGCAAGCTGAAGCTGGCACACACTAGCCTAAGAGCTCATTTTAATCACCGTAGCCCTAAAAAAAATTCTCTTGCACAGTATTGTATGATTACAGCTCTTTAATCTGTAATTTAATTCCTCACAAAACTTCACTGACCCAATAGCAAAATCCACTAGCCCCATTCTATTGGACACAATTAATTTTTGTTACATGATAAACATCACTTAACAGGGTCTAAGCAAAAAAGAAGTCCTTCATGACCAGATTCAAAAGGGGCGGGGATGCTTGTCTTAAATTTGGAATTAAACCCCTAACAGAGACCAATCTGGGCATGGCCCAACCTTTTTTGACCCCTAAAATGGATCAATTTAAACTTTGATTACACGAATAGAGTAAATAAAACGAATTGAAAATATATAAGTCGTTAATGTATCTTCGAGTGCAACACTAAAAAAGACCTTTACGGCTAAATATAATGGTGTTTTGCGAGAACACCCTAAGCGAGACCAAAATCTGAAATTTGCACCCCTAAACGAGACGACGAGCATCCCAGCGCCTTTCATATGCGTCCCCCCCCCCCCCCCCCCNCGGGAGGATTGACTGAACTGTCTAATAAAGAAAATAATACTAAGAAAGGATATAAACTGGGCCTTATCCAAAAAGTTTACCAATGTATAAAAGTTGTGAGTGCAGGTCAGACATTCAGTATTAAACTATGAATGACCAGATATAGATTAAAATAGTTATGGTGTCAATAAAAATCCACTTAAAAAAGTTGTTATCATGGATGTTAAACGGTGTTTTATTACAATTGTTTTAGTATGGAGGCAATCCAGTGTCTTGTGCTGTGGGGAATGCAGTGCTTGATGTTATTGAAAATGAAGATCTACAGCAACATGCTCTTGAACTAGGCAACTATCTCCTGCAAAAGCTTAGAGAACTGCAGGCCAAGCACCGACTTATAGGAGATGTTAGGTATGTTATACAAGGATTTGAATCTTGACACCACAGTTCTTCACCTAGTTAATGACACAATCTGTTTGTAGTGTAGTCACTTGGACAAATAACAGATGTCTCATCTTTTTCGCATTTTATTTTGTCATAAAATCTTTCTTGAATTTTTAGAAGAAATGTTTACTGTAATCAATTAATGTCTTTGATGAGTAATAATCTTGTAGCATTATTTGTAATAGTGTAGACACTATTAATTTAAATGGATTGATTGATTTATTGATTGATTGACTGATTGATAGGGGCACTGGTCTTTTCATTGGAGTGGAACTGGTAAAGGACTTGATGACTAAGGAGCCTGCTACGGAAGAAGCAAAGAGAGTTGTCTACAAGTGAGTTAAACATAAACACTATTGTACTCTCCAGAACCAACCGCCAGAGCTGCAGGTTTAAATTTCACAAGAATATTACTGTTTTAGGTCAATTCTGTGTTAAGGGCCTTCTTATCACTAAATGCTTCTGGCCCCAGTTGTTCAATAGGTGGATAGCGCTATCCGATGGATAAATCACTGTCCAGTAGATAACGCAATTGGTTTCCCTAATACTTATCCGCTGGATAGAGATTTATCCAGTGGATAGCGCTATTCTGCTTTTGAACAACCGGGGCCTGTAGGTCAGTTATTAAGGAGATATCAAAGAATTACCTTAATAATTTTTCTGGTGATTTTTGCAGGCATAGCCTAAAACTTGAAAATTTTTTCAAGTTTTAATGTATAATCCACTTCATGCTGCAACTTTCTTGGAATGTCTATTTGGAATTGTTATTTCCCTGTAATCCAATATTCGTAAACTTTGTCTAAGTGGCCCTGGGTACAGTTGTCGCACTGTAAACTAAAATTTTTTTTTTATTGATTTTTCAAGAGCAAAGGAGAATTTTGTGATTATCTCTGCTGATGGACCAGACCGCAATGTATTGAAGGTTAAACCACCAATGTGCTTCACAAAGGAAGATGGAGACTTGTTGTTGTCTGTATTGGACAAAGCTCTGAGTGAAGTTGAGCATTGCTAGAAAAGCAGCATGGGAAATAGAACATTCCATTATTTATATCATATCTTTTTTACCAGTAATTAAATTAATATGTTAAAGGGCCTGTGTCATGGCTGGCTAGTTTATTTTGTGTGGAAACCTGTTCGGCTAACAAGTTTTCAAAAACTACGATTGAAATCCATTTCAATCTACTTCAAGTTTGTCCATCCAGGCCTCCTTTTGTATTTGCTATGTTATTTATTCTTTCTTTTAACGTTTTGAGTGGTTATTTTTATGTTTCGCTCAGTGTGGTTGCAGTAATTCCACTGTTTGAATTATGATGAATTCCATGACACAGCTCTTTTAAGGCTATCTTGGGTACCCTGCCACAGATCCACAGACAGACTTAATTGTGATGTGATGCAAAGCTTCCTGTGGCAAATAAGCCATTTGATTATAGTATATTATATAATTTCCGCTAAAGAAGCCCTTGCAATATGAGCTAAAGGTCCAGAGCATCTACAGTTTCTGCCAATGGGAATTAGTAGGAGGACGTGTTTGCGGTAAAATCAAATGAAAGGAGACCGTAATTTCCCTGTCCCAAATGTACTGTTAGCATGATGCTCGACCCAGGACTTTAGCATTTAATTTGGGGCAAGAGGCCATCTTCGCCAATCTACAGATATGACTATGGGTAATTTTCTATGGGAAATGGTGTACCTTAAGGACTCTTTTACTAGGCTCTGTAGAGGTGAAGGACAAGAGCCAAATTGTGGCTCATCAGACTTCATCTGAGTAACCCTTGAAGTGTTATTATTTATTTTATTCACATGTAATTATGAAAGGGTAAAACTAATTTTATTAATGGCCAAGAACGTAAAATGATATCTTGTGATTATATCTTATTGCCATTTTCGCGTACTGGTTTGATTATCCGTACATCCATGCGCTATTTTCATTTTTATTTTTTTTGGTTAAAATAGGTGTGTCAGGGTAAGTGAAGACTCGGTTAGTCTTAAAAATTTGGTTTCGAGATAAGACAGTGGTGTTTTAAAATCTATAGTATCTTCAAAAAATTGTGTACAATAATGCAAATTGCCATCTAGACTCTTTTTATCCGGAAATTTAAACTTTTAATAGGTTTGCCGTAATATATTTTAGAATGCGAGATTGCTATAAAATTTAAAATATTTTAATGTCCAGAGCACATTTTACAGTTGTGTACAATTGACCTTCTTTCATTAAAACCCTCCTTTTTCGTCATATTAAAGAACAGGAATTGTAACATCCCCAACCCAACCCTGCTGAGGTCATACAAAGACTGTTAAAGTGTGCTAGGATATTGCGTGGTAAGGTGTATTGCCGATTAATTATAAAGCAAAGCTTTAAAAAAAAATCCGTATTTTTATTAAAAACTGAATCTTATCAAAGTGTCTATTTTTTCTTGCATATGTTGGGCTGCGTGAAAAGTGATGATCATGTTAAAATTCTGAGCTGTATCATCTAAAAGCACCAGCTCTCTAGCATGAGAAAACAGCCCACATTTCACGACACCATCACTGCACGGTTTCCCGTATAAAGAGCGCAAAAATTCCATACTGATGACGTAATACTGATGAGGTAGCACTACCCAGATCTGGGTATGCTTCTGATTGGTTGAAGCATATTTCCCTCGCAGCAGGACCAATCAGAAGGTCATCAGTATGGAATTTCTGCGTTCGTTACTCCGACGTCATTTCTCAGGCTACCAGCTCGCTAATGCAGTTACGATAATTGATACCGTATGATTTGAAACTGTATGGCTATGTCCTTACTTTTCTCGCATTTCTGGTGTATCCTGACCAAACTTATAAAGTATGCAAAAGGCAAATCTTTTAAGGTCTCACTTATCATGACGCCTCAAACTTAATAAACATGAGCCGTTCTTTGACCAGAAAGAGATGACGTAAATCTAAATAGCACGTGTAGGGCCGTTTGATTTTGAAAATCTATTTTTTTGCTGTCTGTTTTGCTTGTTTGTTTGTTTGTTTGTTTGTTTTGTCTTTTGTACCTTTGTTTACATGTTATATCATCTGTGCCTGGTTAGTTCTTCCTAACCCCTTAAACAAGGTCACCTAAACATTTTTTTTTATGTTGAGGAAAGGTAACTTACTTTGAGCTCAAGTTAAACATCTCGTTGGAATTTAAATAAGATCCCGGAAAATTGCAATTCTATGAATCCACCGGTATTCTGACCAGGGCGGATCCGCCCTGATTCTGACCAATATGCAACGGCCTTCCGGCCCTCTGGTTGGCTATGGGATAAATTTACGACCGGAAAAAGCATTTAAAGATTTCCGTCTGAAAGGGTTATTATTTGTCTTCTTATCTACACCTAAAAGTAGCATCTCTTCCAAAGTACTGCTGCTGCCACTCTTTGGCAAGCAACCGAAATTATTAATTTAGTCAGGGACCAAGAACCAGTATCTACTGATAAAAACAGACTTTCCAAAGACCCGAGTCGATCAGACATTGATCATCGTCCGAACGTCTGCGGTGATTTCCTCGCTAGGATCAAGTGTATGCATATGTTGGGTGAGGAGAGAAAGCCCCTGCTGATCCCTCTTAGGCACTGTTCCGGGGAAGGGAGTACTACCACAAGTAGACTATTGTGTGGAGGTTTGTGCATTTGTGCAGCTGAAAGAGTGTTGCTTTCAAGTGAGTCAAACAATATATTTATTTCAATTCAAGTGTACAAAAACAAACCATATATTAGCAGCCGGCTGTATATAACCTGATTAACAAATTAAGATGATGACTACGACGAGTGTCCAAGACTCAAACAAAAGAGGATAAAAAGCGTCTTGTATTTTATACACCAAAAAAAACACAAATCGGCATTAATATCTCAGCGAGGAAACGTGGACTGGCAACTGATGAGGGTATTTAACTACGAAATCTGCAACCCTGGGAGCGAGGTTGCAAAACATCCGGGAGGAGGTACTCCCTATGATGGCCTATACGGGGAGGCTCCNCGGCATTAATATCTCAGCGAGGAAACGTGGACTGGCAACTGATGAGGGTATTTAACTACGAAATCTGCAACCCTGGGAGCGAGGTTGCAAAACATCCGGGAGGAGGTACTCCCTATGATGGCCTATACGGGAAGGCTCCGCCCGAAAGGGGTACCTATTTCAGGGTTCAGGTATATGAAGAGTAGGGATTTCACTAGTTGAAGTATATAAAAGGATAGGGAAATCTGTCTGGGTCTGTGAAAGGGCCAAAGAGGGCTAACAGATGAATTTTATGGCTGAGAGAAAACGTTCTATTTTTGTGATTGATTCCCTATTTAAAAGACAGTGCATTTACCACAGTTAAAAGGGATGCAAAAAACTAAACAAGGTATGTGAAAGGGGTACCATTTGTCAATAGAAGGTACACGAAAGGGGTATCGTAACTTGTTTTGTGAAAAATGGTATATAAAACTGACAGATGTTGTTTTGCTAGGGTAATGAACGGCAACTCTCTTTGGGTAAGGGGTTGGACCGCGAGGCGGAGCCTTCCCGTATAAACATTTGTTAATACCCACCCCTCCCCTCCCCGGGCAAAACATGCAGTGTTTAAGGTAGTAACTTAATAGGCGGTTCCAATAGTCCAATACCCTTGTCACCCGAGAGACGTTTTATGTTTCACCCGTGGCGTTTCCAGTTCCGCTCAATTTTCGCTGCTTTGCCGCTATTGACTTCGGTCGTCGACCCGAAGATGTGTTGGCCAAAGCATCCCCCAACAAGAGAGAAAAAACCTCTGTTACCCATCCACGGTGACATTCCAACGGTGTGTTGCCCCCCCAAAAACTTTGTTTGAATAATTCATTACAGCTTTTCCCGATGTGATATTTCAGTCTCTTTTGAACTTTTAGTGTAAGCCCCAGTTTTTTGCATCGTAATCATGGGTAAACAGTGGAATCGTTACATTCGCTAAAAGTTCGTAGGATCGGTCCACAGTCCTGTATCCGACCAATCGCATGACGCTGGCACAGTAATACTCAATAACGCTAATATCGTGTGGATGTACCTTCCATCTCCAGCGATTTGCAGCCACACGAGCATTGTCCTTAGTGCAAGTGGCTTGCGCTCCGTCTTTCTCATTACAATCTGACCTACTCAGCTGTGTAGTTTCATTTAACCATGTGCGCACGCTTTCAAGCACAGGCAACCCAACAAAATCGTAGAGGCCTGAGAGTTCTTTCAGTGGGTCCATTGCCAGGTCTTCGTAACGTTGAATTTTGATTCTTTTGCGTAGAAAATTTGGAAGTTTTCGAATAAAATCTAAATTCTCTTCTGTTTCTTTGCATAGTTTGTAGCTAAAGAGTCTTGTGTTCTGTAAAGCATCCTTGTTTCCTTTCTCGTTAAAAAAACCAAAACTGCGAGAAGAAGGGATAACAGCTCGAGGATCTCTAACAAGAAAAAGAATTTTGCAGTCAACATCAAAAGAGTTGCATGAAGTCAAAACAGTTTTGATATTACTCTCAGGAATACGATCCATAAGAACTTTAATTACGGTTAAATTGCAGTTGTCTTTACAAGCACTTTCCAAAGACTCGCTTGTCATAGGATAGCATAGCTTTGTATCCCATCTCGAGTCTGTTAGTTTGTACGGACATAAAGGCGGTGATGCAATGGCTTGGCTTATGCGGGGATGGTCGGGTTTCCGGTAGTACTTTTCAATATCAGCTAAGATCTCTGGCTGGTCGAATTTGCAGCGAAATACACCTGTTAGAAACTTCTCAACTATGCTGCTATAGCTTTCATTGGTAGACGACTTGCCCTTTGTTATTCGTTTGACACTCTGTAGCGGCTCGTACATATAAAACACGCTGGGATTGTGGTTGAAAATATCTCCCATAAGCGAAGAACCGGAACGACCATGTGACACAATTATAAGATTTTTCCTGGCAGTTCTTGAATGTTGTGCGAGTTTTCGTCGTGTTGCAGCCGTGCGGAGCATCTCTTTGTTGATGTCGGTAATATCTTGTATATTTGCTCTGCGAATTTGTTGTTTGTTTGGTAGAGTAAAAATGCCGAGAAAAAAAAAGCACATGAACGAAGATCCAATCAAACAAATTCGTAGCGGGGTTAATCTCAGATGCCGTCTAAGTATACGTCTTAACGTCATATTCTTGAGCGCAAGACAACTAGAAAAGCTTAGAAAAATTTAACGTTTATCAGCAGAGAAGATAATTTACGCTTAATTATGCGAACTTCATTTAAATAGTTTTAATCCTCTGGAGCACCGTTATGACGTCTCCTTGACGACTACATACCGTGCTTCAACTCTCACAATAGACCATTTCAATTTCTGCATACAAACATAAATTGTGCATGTGTTTAGCTACCCTGGGTGCCAGAGACTTTTCATGAGCGCTTTCCGGTTTCGCTCAAGTCTTTCTGTGCGAAAATTAAGGTTCTTTCTCCGTCGCACTCAATTGCTGCACACGCGAAAAAACCTCTGGTACTCAGCGTAGTTTGTAACTGTCATGAACTGTCGGGGCAGTACCCTGCGGATCCTGCGTAGCAAGCGTTTCCGTTTGGTTTCGGAGGGAAGAAAGATCGAGGAACGGAATTTTAATTAAGTTGTGGATATATGTAGCTCACCGGTGGCCTGTATGGGAGTATTATTCAGACAGTCTATTGAACTTCGCGAATCCAGGAAAGGGTTCACTTAATTATTATGGAATTATTATTATATTGGTTTTGCCATAAATCAAACTTTCCCAGCCCTTACCTATAAGACACCTAATGGTTTCGTTTCACGAAAAGGAAATTGTCCGAGAATATATATTATTTTTCTTTTCTTGAATGGTATCAAATCTTGCGAGTCGAATTTTCGTGATTGAGAAAGAAATCGCGCAAATAGTAATTGTACAAAGCAATTGTACAGCAATTGTACAAAGCTGCAGAGAAAACAAAATAATATGAAAAACATATCCTAAACGTTGAGAGATCTACAAAAAGAATGATAAAGGAAGCGTTTTTCCAGCTTGACTAGTAAGCAGTTAAAAGCTCAAGTTCTTGATGCTTACAAAAGGCCTTAAACCCATCATCCTACTTCGACTAATCTACTGTTACCGTTCATTACAGTCTGTAACTGACGGTTCCACCAGATCAATTGAGGATGACAGAATAACCTTTCGGTAGAAAGACACGCATACATGCCTGTCTGGGCAAAAACTTGGATTTCTTTAGCGACTCAATTTATTTGCAAATGTTTTAATAACTTACCGCATACATTTGGGGTATCCATTTTAAATTTTTATCCCCCGATAATTTACTCTGAAGACATATACCGCGTTCGGTACCAAAATTGAACCAGATCTTTCTCAACTGCAAGTTAGTTTCCATGATCAATGCAATCAATATATTTACTAGATTATTTCGTTCTTAAATAATAAGCTTAATCAGTTAAGCGGGCTGCCCGGCTGAAGGGTACAATTTGTGCAATTTTTCTTCCAGCATGCCCGCGCGTTTTCGTTCAATTTCGCGTAATACACAGCGCTAGATGTCACCAAGGTTACAGCCTGTGCTCTACCTGGCATGCGTAGTCGTTTATCACGCCTTGTCGCGCCACGAAGACGATTTAAAGAAGAAGATTTGAAAAATCTCGTTGTTCCGTGGAGTGTTAGTCTGCTGCAAAGCCGTTTTTAGGAGGAGCGTTGCGTGCGACTCTAAAAACGGCTGTGTAGCAGACTATGAGAGTGTTAACCTTATAAGCGGTATATTTAGAAGAAAAAAAGAAGTTAATTTGTAAGGTTAACACGAAAGCCCCATTATCCAAATGTAAATTCTCGAGACGGGCCTGTTTCTCGAAAGTCCAGGTAACTTTTCGGGCCGAGAAAGGTATTTTATGTTTGCCGTTTTTGCATTCATGCTTAAAGTTAACGCAGCAAAATTGACGGGTTTGTGCCTGGGAACTATGCTACTTACAGGCCTAGGATTTGATTTGAAAACCTAGTTTGCCTTCGGGCCTTAAAAGTTATCAGATCTTTCGAGAAACAGGCCTCTGATCTCCATACATAAAAAGAAAATTAGTTGAGAGAAATCAACAAAAGATGAAGCATTTTCTCTTGGTAGTCATTCTCGTAACTTTCTCTCATGATGATGTATTGATGTTTCTGGGGGAAATTTAATATTGGTCCGGTTCTTGGGACTTGAGGGTCCTCGGATTTTCAAATGAGTTCTTTTAATTTAAAAACCAATGTTTTGCTTCATAGTCACTGCTGAAGAGTGGAATCTCCTTATCCGCTAACAGATCATGTGATCCATCTACAGGCCTATATCCCATAAGTAGTAAAACCCGTTGACAGTAGCGCTCTATAACGTCAATTTCATGCGGTTGCACCTTCCATCGCCAGCGATTTGTCGCTGCCCATGCGTCATCTTTAGTGCAAGTGACTGCGGCTCCATCCTCGGGTCTGCAGGCTGCCCTACTCTGCTGTGTAGTCTCGTTCAACCATGTGCTCACTTTTTGCATCACCGGCAACCCAGCGAACTCGTACAGGGCTGAAAGCTCCTTCAATCGGTTTATCGTCAAATCTTCGTAACGTTGAAGTTTGATTTTACTACGAAGGGAATCCGGAAGTTTTCGGATGAATTCCAAGTTATCCTCAGTCTGTTTGCACTGTTTATAGCTATAGAATCGTGTGCTCAGGAGCGCTTTGTTGTCTGCTTTCTCCTTAAAGAAGCCTATGCTACGCGACGAAGGGATTACAGCTCGAGGATCTCTTACAAGGAAAACAATTTTACAGTCAACATCAAAAGAGTTGCAGGGATTCAGAATGTGTTTTATGTTATTCTCGGGAATACGAGATAAGAGTACTTTAATTACAGTTAAATTGTAGTTGATTTTACAGGCGCTTCTCAAAGACTCGCTTGTCATAGGATAGCATAGCTTTGGATCCCATCTTGAGTCTGTTAGTTTGTAGGGGCATAAAGGCGGCGATGCAATGGCATGGCTTATGCGGGGGTGGTCGGGTTTACGGTAGTACCTCTCGATGTCAGCAAGAATCTCTGGATGGTCAAATGCGCAGCGAAAGAGGCTTGTCAAAAAAAGTTCAACAGTGCTGGCGTAATTTTTTCCTTGATTTGATTTCCATTGAACCCGTTCAGCCGTTTGTAATGGCTCGTACATATAGAATACGGAGGGGTGGTGGTTGAAAATATCTCCCATTAGCGAAGAACCGGACCGGCCATGAGACACAATGATAAGATTCCTTCTCTTCCCAGTTTCTGAATGTTGTGCCAGTTGGCCTTTACCTCGAGCTCCTGTTCGCTGAGAGGTGAGAAACGCCACTTCGTCAATATTGTTTTTTCCTGTCAGATGTTTTCTGTCTTCTGTCCATCTGTTATTGTATGATGGAGTTGACGATCCAAGAAAATAAATACCCGCTAATAGTGACAACAACAAACATAGCATTCTCAAAAGCCTCGAGGGCCTTAGAGATCTTTTCACTGCCATTACAGGTTTGGTTGCCAAAAAATGGGAGCTTGAGTTTTTATCCGTTGGTTCAACATAAAACACCCTTGGTTACCGTTTCTAAGCCAAGAGTCAGTTGTGAAGCGCGTCAAGATTTTTACTCCATATCATCTAGAATAAATCTACCCTAAGCGACAGAGGTTTTCTTTTTTTGGCCTAATTCCTGGTGGTTCGCGGCGTTTCGGAAACTTTTCCTATCCATGGGCACGATTTAATTTTTTCTAGGTGTTTTGAGAACGGACCTTTAAAGCTAGGATAAAATAAATCATTCTTGCCCGGCTGATTCTGTTGTCAAGGTTCGTCACCCCACCAGTTACTAATTTAATTTTGTTTAGGTTATATATTTAATCTGTAAAATTCCTCATTTTTTTCAACAGCGTTATCTTCAATTAGATATACTGTATATATCTCGATAACGAAATATCTTCTCAGTCTGCATCTTGTAATTTTGGTTAATCTGAAAAAAAAAAAAACTTTGTGATAATTATAATTTGTATACATTTTTAATTCTTTCGTGTTACTTCTGTTGTCACGGTTCCATTATAACAATATCACATCTGTTCTTTGCATTTTATGTTATTCAGATTTTCTTTCATTTATAAGAGAGGGGGTCATCAGTTTCTCTTGGTGTTGAGGAAACTTTATTGTTGATTCTAATGTTTGTCAGATACAGGCGAATTTTTCCTGCAGGTGAATTCTTAAAGACCTGTACTCAAGTACAACGCCGAAAAAAAAAAAATTCACATTCTCCAAAAAAGGGTGTCGTGGAAGTTTTACTGGTCGTAGACGTGCACTAGACATCGAAGAAAACGTTTCTTGGGTGGATTTCTACTGTCGCGTAATTTTCACGCTCGTACGCACGTAAATAAAATAGAGCGAATACACGGAAAGTCACGCGTAAACGTAAAAGTTGAACCTCGCTCAACTTTTACGTTTCCGCGCGGCCTTTCATACATCGCCTTTATGCTATTTACGCGCGAATGTTCACGCCATAAAATCGTACCGGATGGAGCTTCTGTTTACACATAAGAACACTGATTTCAGCACGATTTCTGTGACGGAGCAAAGCTGCGTCACATAGATCTGCAAAATGGAGAGTCACATATCTGATAGGTACAAAAAGCTATCCGGCATAGTATGAGCATAGATTTCAGGTGGATTTCCACTGTCGCGTAATTTTTCCATGCGAACGCGTGTAAATACAATAGAGGCAACGTATGAAAGGCCACGCGTAAACGTGAAAGTTGTGCGAGGTAATCGGAGCGAGGTTCAACTTTTACGTTTACGCGTGACCTTTCCTACATTGTCTCTATTTCATTTACGCGCGTAAAATTTACGCGACAGTGGAAATCCACCTTTAGGGCCTGTTTACATGGAGTGGGGGACCCCGGTCTTGGGGGGTTGGTTTCTTTTGTTTTCACGCTCTGGGGGTACACAAAACAAAAGAAACCTACCCCACTAGACCGGGGTCCCCCACTCCATGTAAACAGGCCCTTAGGCCCGGTTCAAACGTCGCATTTCAGATGTGCCAAATCTAATGCAAATGAACAAAGACAATAAATTTTCCTCAACAGCATTAATTCGGCACATTTGAAATTTAACGTTTGAGTGAATTCACGCTGTTTCAAAATTCATCGCTTTCA